CAAGGAAAAGGTGCCGCGTTCCCTTATGTTCCAGGCCAGAACTCATTCAGAAATTTGAATTTGACATCGAAGCCAACATTCTTTGGGTGTGATGCAAAGAATTTATCCTCGTTGACTTCGGATATCTACAATGTGCCTTTGGTGATTTACGTTGCAAATCGTCCTTACACATATTGGTCAAACACATCAACATTCAGATTAGACTACTCGGCGGAAGAGCGTAACAATATGATATCTAATGGGTTTGCGGTAACAACTAGGTTAAATGGAACTTTGGATGAGGAGTGGGACGCCTGTGTTGGATGTGCCATAATTAGGAGAGAGCAAGAGAGGTTAGGACTCGAACAAAGCGAGCAATGCAAACAATGTTTTAGCCAATACTGTTGGGATGGAACTATATACGAAGGTGAGTCTATTGGCGATAATTTTGATGACAATGGATTAACTGAAGGAGCCGAGTTTTACAACTCAAATAATACTCCTGGTTTTGATGATACAGGTGCCAACCTCAAGAGANGAGAGACGAACTTTCTGATGGTAATCAGAAGCCAAATTAGGATTCAGTAGAATGCTAATAAGTGTATATGCTTTTAATTGTCTATGTCTTTAATTTTCTATGTATTCTAATCTGTATGTGAATCTTTGTGAACTTGGTCTGTGTCATTTGCGTGTTTATTATTTGTTTGACTCTTTTGACTTTTTTGGCTCTTGTGGCTACTCTGAGAATGTACATCACTATCCTGTATTATATTGTCCCCATTCTCCTCATCATCGTCCTCAATTAAAAAATTGTCAGTGTCAAAATCGGTAGAGTTCAATTCAATCTCATTGTGGCTTCCCATTTCCAACTCATCAGCAAAATTTCCAAAAACTAGTACATCATCATGAATAACGCCTCTTTGGTGGAAGCTCGCTAGCTTTTGCTGCATTTTGACATAAATCAAATAAGTGGCTAGTGAAGCAGCACCACCTGTGATTATTATACTAACGACGTCAACAAACTTTGACATTCCCGAGCTTTTGTCACTTCCTAAATCTTTCAACTTGCTACCAACAAACAAATGTATAAACAATTTGGGAGATGTAATCAACGTTGCAAGAAAGTATGTTAAAAGTGGCAACTCGGGCACCGCTGCTAACGCACCATTGGATAACGAGTACGGCAATGGGCAAAGCCGTATTAAACACAATAGCAACAACGAACTATCATCGTGTAAAACTTCGGCAAAAGCTCTAAATTTCTCATTGTATTGCACCAATTTTGTCGCTTGATTTTGTAAAAGGTATCGAAACACGAGGAACGAAGCAGTGCATCCTGATACTGATGCAAAAGCCAACAACGGCCACCCTTGCGGGAACCCATATACCATTCCTGTCAACAAACTCAATGCAGTGAAACCAATTAATGGTGGGAAACTTACTGTAAACACCAAGGCAAATATTATCACTCCTCCATATTTCAAATCATGCCACTTGTCAGACAAGTTGATCAATTGGTTTATCAAATATGAATGGAATATTAAGAATAACACACCTAATATTCCGAGAACGATACATCCAAGTACAACAAACACTTTCTTTATTAGCGATTGCCCTGCAAACCATGCTTTCAATTGATTGAGGTAGTGCATCGATAAGGCAACTTTCTGTGCCACAGACTCGCGTATAGACAGACTTGTTGGCAAGTTGTAAGGGTGAGGATTATCATGATTTGATAATTGTGGCATCTTGAGGGTTTCGATGCTGCTGGTCGTTTGGCTATCGAGTGCTATTTTTGGATATTTCCAAAGCGAGAGTTTTTTTGATTGTGCGGCTTAGCTATTGGTTACCTCTTTGGCACCTGAGAAGAAAGTGAGAAAACGTCAAAAAGGAAAGAATGACAACAAAGGGCTTTTGTCTAACATCTTGAAACATTCATCAACAGGAACCTTGTATACTTCTCAGATAAAGAAACAGTGTTATCGAAAAGATTACAAAACCGGTTCGGACTTTTCAATTAACCGATTTTTTTTTGCATGTAAATTGACGCAAAATTATTTTACTCCAAAAAGCACTGTTCCTACATTACTATAACTCAAAATTGTTTTTTGACATATGGCTGTTACCATCAAAACGAGCATAAGCTTTGGGTGAATTTCTCCAGAATGTTTAGATCTTAGTGTAGATGTGTTGATAGTTTAAAAATTGTTGGCCAAACTTTTACTTTTATTTGGCTTATTTTGGTGGTTTACCATATTTCGGAAACGGGCAATTTTCATTCTATGTGCCCAATTGTCCAATTAAAGCAATGCAAAATAAGATTACTGTACTTACAAACATTATGTGCAGTATTTTGTATGTGACTACTATAAAATAATGACCAATTAGTAAGACAAAAAAGGGAGTAGTGCACAATAATCAATTCCAGGAATTGTTAGAGAGTGGAGACCCAACAGCAAAGGAAAAGAAAAAAAAAATAATACATCAATCATTTATATATCGAAGAGTATTCTATTCTATTCTTTTCTTATCTGTTGATATAAAATTACAAATACATTTATCAGATATTACAGATTTACTTTCCATCTTAGTAGGGATATAACATATTTATTCACTAAACTATTCAGACTACAAAAGCTAGCCAAACAATCACTCACACTTTAAACTCCTTCATACACTCCCTGCAGAAGATCACAAACAATGATTACTAGAAGATTATCAGCTGTACAATTGACTAGACGGTATTTATCCCATGAATTGAAGGAGAAAAACAAGAGATTCATTCAAACAATCCCTTCAAGTACGGGGAACGGCTCAAACTCGTTTTATGGTTTCCAGCATGAGCAAGCTAGAGAACCCAAATTGATTGAAAGAAATCCCAGTTCAAAGTGGGCAAAACATTCGTTGGGATTCCCATCGCAACCTATCAGTCCTCCAAAACAGGAGCAACCACAAGGTCAAACACAAGCACAAGCATCTAAAGCACCAGTAAGGAGGCTGAGGACGTCAAGATTCAAGACGGTAAATAACCTTTCTTCAGTACAGCCATCAACGTTGAAAACATCATCAGATTCCAATACAACTACAAAGACAGCTCAATCTCAACCAGAGTCATCGCCATCACAGGTTATTGAGATAACTTCAGACCCAGCAGTTCAAGCAGCATCATCATCGATACAAAAATTACCAAAGCCATTAACGACAGAAACGATACCAAAGACAAACACAGCATCTACCCCCAAGAAGAAACGTACGTTGCGTCCACGTAAGGCATTGATCACGCTATCGTCCAATGCAGTATCTCATTTGCAAGCATTATTGGACCAACCCGAACCAAAATTGATTAGAATAGGAGTTAGGAATAGAGGATGCAGTGGATTGACATATAACTTGGAATACGTTGACAAGCCAGGAAAATTTGATGAAACCGTTGAGCAAGATGGGGTCAAGGTGCTTATAGACTCAAAAGCACTTTTTTCCATCGTGGGTTCTGAAATGGATTGGCTTGATGATAAATTGAGTTCAAGATTCATTTTCAAAAACCCAAATTCGAAGGGAACTTGTGGCTGTGGAGAGTCGTTTATGGTATAGTCAAAAATTAAGTATTTATTTAATAGTTATATTAAATATTTTCCATTACTCTTTATCTTTTGTCTTTTCTCTTTCATACTATCTTTAGAATGAATATGGCACATGTGCCATATAAAAAGCCTCATATTGTATTTTAGTAAATTTGCACCCTTTCTGTTTAAAAAGTCGTAGACAAAAATTTTTAGTATCATACAAGAGGTCGAAAAGATATCGCAAATGGTATCACTTGTTTTTAATAGCAAAGTATGCTAGAGTGCGCGATTATTACGAATTCTATATGCGAGATTTTTTTTATATAGCTATGTGCAATATTATTTTGCTTTGTAGTTGCGAAGTTTATTACTGTAGTTGGTGAGAACTTACTACAGTGCAGTGCTGCTTTAATTTAGAGGCATATGAAACCTTTTTAGTAATACGGGTGCTACATTCATTCTGAAAATAGTGTATCAACTTGTCTAGAATTTGATGCTCATACAGAAAGGGCCAAAACGGTTTCATATAATACCTTGAGACATCTTTGTGATCTACCATTGTAATTAATTTTCTGTTTCTATTTTACGAGACATTCGTAAAATCACGATTAATCGGTTTTGGTGTCGTGCCAAAGAAATCTTCACCCCCTGTATTTATTATTTCGTTTACCATATAATTTTGGTGCCGTGCCAAAAAAAAAGACAAATCCTTCTATTTGTTAACAACATTGATGCCCGTGCAGTTTCATGGATAATTTTGAAATATCTAATTAATATGCTCGAAGTGGCAGTCAAAGCCAAGAAAATGTCAAGCATTGTTTTGTGCTTTTCGTTGGTTGAGACTACGACTACAGAGTGGCTGTTTACATCCTTATTTTTTTCCAAAGCCTTTTTGTTCTTACTCTGCAGCTCCAAAAAAAAGAAAAGCAATTGTGGCTCAAAGCTGTCATTCACAAAAACAATAAAATAAACGATATTCGAGGTGGTTAAATGCTTCAGGTCTTTATCTAAAATGGAATCTAACTTACCCACAAAAAAGGTTATGAGCTTTTTTTCTTTTCCTGCATGAATTCCATTGGACGATTTCTCAAGAGACTTATCGTCTCTATAATTGTGTCTGTTATGCACTAATTATTTAGTTTATAAATAGAGAAGAATCTTTTTGTTGAAGTGAGTGGGATTTTTACTTTTGACAAAGAGTTTCAACCACCAGAGTACTAACGGAATCAGGAGCTCGGCACAACTAAGGATTAATTACGATGGGGGTAGATACAGATCAAATCGGCATTTGGTGCACAAATTCAGATGGACTGGCTGCATACACAGGTGCTGCTTATGAAACTCAACGCTGGGCATGCGTAAGTGGAACACCGTATGTACCAGCAAGTACATACAAGGCTGGCGCACAAAGAGGGTTTATGAGCAAGATGCTAGTGGTGTTGACGGTATTGGTTAATACTGTGTTAGGTTTGCATTTGGGATATGAGATAAGCGAAGATTGTTGTGATGTGGTAATGATGAAGCTTTATTCATGAGCTAGAGTAGTTGATGGTATTGAAGATACGTACAGATTATGATGTAAAAAGACAGAAAGAAGAAATCAAAAGAGGAAAAAGACATTTGAGGGTATGGTCTCTTATTTTACAAAACACAGACACATGTCTTATTTTTTTTGGTTACATAGAAATGTGTAAAGTATTTTAAGTTAATATATATTTATATATCACTTTAGAATGATTAGTATTCTTCCTCTAGTTAGTTTAAGATATATATGATGTCTCAGTACCATATTATAAACGTTCAATAATTCTCTATACAAATTCTATAAATTGAAGACGAGAAATCTACATCTTAAATGAAGAACATCTTTATTTGTCTATGTATCTGTCTTTTCATTTCTACACAGCATCCTCGTGTAAAGACCAATAAATTGACAAAGAGTCCTTCACATTAGGTCTTGATGTATTTGCAACCATTCTCTATTTTCTCATGCCAACACACTATTAGTCGTGTACAACGTTCAAAAAAGAACTATATATAAACTATATATCACTATACAATCTATATAATAAAGGAAACTTTTATTTGATCTTTCTACACTCAAAATACGTAGCATTGATATCATTGGGCAAAGAACAAAAGTACTCGTGCTTTTGCATAATCTTAAATAACTCAATTGAGTTTATCTTTAATTTAAGACAAGTTTTGCCCCCATCTCTATTCGACGTACATATAATGCTTTCTTTGATATCCTTTTCTCCATCTATAACAAACATATTGGTGGGCGGATAATTGTGAATAAAGTCTCCTACCGTTGAGTCAGCGTCCTTAAAATTCGTTACATCATTGACGTTCTTAAGTTTGATTTCATTTGATTGAGAGTCTGAACTTAATTGGTTTAATGTTGTTTCAATGTCGGAACTATCATTAATCAACTGTCTTGCATTTGATGACGGTTGGGGAAGTTGCTGATGTGACTTGTGTTCTAAGTTTGGAGAAGCTAATGGAGGAGAAGCTGGTGGTATTTCTGTTTTCTGCGAGCCAAATGATAACCAGCCCATTATGTATTTTCAGTAACTATATGGTAATAGAAAGGACGGCGTCGATTGCTAAAAGTTAATTTCGGTTTTTTTGGTGAAATAAAATTATTCCTAATTTAAAACACTATATACAGGATCGAACTATAAACACAACCCCAAACTTTCATTTAACCTCATTAATGTGGTCAAGTATTGTTTGTAGGTCAAGTAAGGTAGTTTTTCATTATCATTCCTTTTCTTCTTCTTTGGTCTATTGCCACCTTCTTGTTGATCCAACCATTGAAATTTGTAGTCATATTTGATCTGCCATGGGCAATCGTGATCCATTCGAAGTAATGTGCTAATAACTTGTGACTCGATGGTATCAATGCTGCTCTTCTTCTCGACAATATTGGTAGTTATGAGCTCTTCAGCATGCGGATTTGCAGTTGCCACTGTGTGATTGAATACAAATGCTAATGTAGCGAAAAGTCTTTGTTCAAGCTGATCCTCAGAAAGTGGCGGGAGTTTCCCTAACAATTTCTGTCGTTTGATATTGTAATCCACATACTTGAAGTTTCTCTTGACTAATGCAACGTAGTCCTCACTGGTTATATCAGGTGTTACGTAGGGGTTATCATCAACTCTAAATAAAATCGGTGTACATTCAAACTTGCGAAGTTTGTAAAACCGTTTATACAATGCCCGTAGCCTTGATTTGAAATTAGGTAGCTGTGTTACCTGCTCAATAGTGGATTCAATGCTGACTTGTGGGGTATTGAATATTAATCCTCGTTGGGCTTGTCTTAGAGCATATTTGAGACTCATTATTAGAGAGTTGATTGCAAGGCAATTTTTCTTCTCTCTGTTTTTATTTTTTTGTTTACGTTTCTTTCTCTCTGGTTGCAAATCAGCAGACGAGCAAACATGTCCATCACAATCAGGGAAGACGATGTCTACTACCAACTCGAGTTCATGTATGGAACAGTGCCAGAGTTGCTAGCTATTCCTGCTCCCACCATGATTTTAGACATAAAGATCTATCTCAATTCCCATCTTTTGACAGTGGCAGATGATGAAGAGTTGGTCAGGAGCATAGCCACCAGATTTCAACCATTTTGGAACCAATGCCATTATGACACGTCTATCAGTATATCTGATGCATGTCCTTCTACCTTTTCGCTCCTCTGTAGAGACCCAATATTTGTATCAAATTCGTTAACTAAAATTTCTTCCATCGCAATTCGCCTTTCAGTCTTGTCACTTGAGGAGATTGATTTACAGAAGCTTTTGGCTGCATTTAGTTACTTGATGGCCTCATGGTTTTTGAACGAGGAGAAAAAATACCCTGCCGTTTTTTCCCCTGTTGGTCGCCAGTTTATCAAACTTAATTTATTTTGGTACAAGAAGATGCGCTATGAAGTGTTGGGGACAGACGTGTTTGATTCTGGACAGGTAATAACAGACTATATCGATGTGGTGAGATCACATTATACTACTTTGCCATTGATGTCCAATGCGGGAAATACATTTAGTGGCTTAAGGAACCACCGAGGGAGAAACTGTATCATCAAGTCGTACCCTTTGCATTTGATCGACATGAGCCCTCCTGAGACAGTGTAACATGCTTTATTGTGCGTCTATTTCAGATCCCCCACTCCTTTTTTTTTTCTTACAACGGGGGCAGTTTTTCCGAATACGTGGAGGAGAAATAAGCCACAATGTTGAGAGGGGGAAAGGATTGGGTACAAATTCTCCGAACTATTTAAGCATTGGGTTTTCAGTGAAAAAAAAAAAAAGAAAGAGGACCAGAAGTAGGAGTTCAGCCATTCACTTTAAACTATCCTACATCGTTAATAAAAGTTATTCATCATGTCGTCACAACTTAGATTTGCTGTTGTTGGTACTGGAATTTTTGCCACCGACACCCACTTGCCAACTTTCCAAAAATTGCCAAATTTGAAACCAGTGGCTGCTTACAACAGAACCAAATCAAAGGCAGAAGCATTTGCGTCAAAGGCAGGGATCCCTGAAAATAAAGTTTACAACTCATTGGAGGACGCATTTAAGGACCCAGAGGTGGACTTTGTTGATGCGTTATTGCCAGTGCAATTCAACCTTGACGCTGTCAAATTGGCCATTGAAAACAAGAGACCAATCTGCTTTGAAAAACCAATTGCCGCCAATTTATCACAAGCTAAAGAGATCGTGCAATTGAGTGAAAAAACAGACTTGCCAATTTTGGTTTTGGAAAACTGGGCATACTTGAAAGCTATCAAGGTGTTGAAAGAAGAGGTACTCCCACAATTGGGTGAAATTGTTGCATTTACTTACAATGCAACTGGCCCTTGGAATGATAACAACAAGTACTTGGCCACCGGCTGGAGACAAAAGCCAGAGCACATTGGTGGATTTTTGAGTGATGGGGGTGTGCATCAATTGGCATTATTAACTGAGGTATTGGGCAACGTTAAATCCGTCAGTGGATTGACTAAACAATTGAAAGAAGAAAGTGGTACTGATGACATCTTGTTCTCAACCTTTAATTTAAACTCTGGTGTCATTGGAACATTTACATACGGTTCAGCTTTTGGTGCCACTGATAAGTCAACCAGCTTCACAATCTATGGTAAAAATGGATCAGCAACCTATGACTGGTCACCAGTTTTAAGCAAGCCAAAGATTGTCTACCAAACTGGAACCAGTGGTCAAGACAAGAGCGAAAAGAAAACAATTGAAATTGATGAAGTAAACACTTTTGAGCAAGAGTTTGAAAACTTTGCTGAAGCAATTGAGAAAAAGGATAAGAAGTTGATCAAGGTTCCACCAACTAAAGCCTTCCATCATTTGGCTATAGTTGCTGCTGCTCTAGAGTCGTCAAGTAAAGGTGGAGCTAATGTCAATGTAGAATTATCATAGACTAGTATATATAGATCTATATTATAGTTCATCAACAAAGCGCGCCGATGTAGTAATGCTTGATATAACAACTTGCAAGGTCTCAGACAAGGGATCCTCTGAAGCCGCGCTCAATGCAGTGGAAAGTAACTCAGCCGTTGTCGAGGCAATTACACTGAGTGATTCAACCTTTTCATTAGCTGACTCCATTCGCGACCTAGTTCCCAATATCCAATTGAAGATGTTAAAGATCTTAAAGAATGACCAAAACAATATACTTATGGGCCTTCTCAACACTCTTCTATACAACACCCAGCAACAACACAATATAAAAAACCCCATACTTAGGTAAATTCGTTGTCTATCCAGCTTATCCTGCTTTTCAATGAATTTGATAATCCCTCTTGACTTGTTTAGAAGATCACTAAATTGGATAAAGCTTTCATTCAATTTGGTCAAATCTTTCGTCTGCTGGTCTATTGAATCTATGTTTAGTTCAGATTGGAGAATCGTAGTTGATAGCAAATCTCGGGACTTTTGCAATGAAGATGTGATTTTCGTGTTTTGTTGGTTGATTTGTTGAGAAATTGATGCATCGGCCGTCTTTTGCGAAGATCTGTTTGAAAATAGCTGTTCTCTCGTTGATTGGAGGGGTCTTTCATTGGATTCATTGTCTGTACTGTTGTCGGTATCAGGAAGTAGGTTAAAGTGCAACAAGCGATACTCTTGGATCTTCACTTGTTGTTCCTCATTGAGATAAAGCTGTACTTTTCTAAACTTTTGCTTGAGTGATTTGTATTTCAAGTCATAGATGTGATAAGTCAGGTCCTCTTTTGTACTTGACTTCAAGATATGGAGGTAATCCTTAAACTCGAGCAAGTTTTGATTGATGCGTGTTCGGATTGTTTTTGGCGAATTGTCATCATTCTGGATGCTCAATGTTTGTAAAAGACTATCAAAATCAGAATAAACCTTCTTTTGTAGATGATCTAATCTTGTAGGTATATCCATTGTGTGCTATAGTTGATTGTTTGATGACGTAGCGGTCGTTAAAAATCTCCTCGAGTTAAAATTTTTGTAGCTGTCATTGAAAAATTGTAGCTGTTTGCTAAATCCACCCCCACTGCACCTCATTTCATGACCAAAAGAAAAGGAACTAAAAAGCCCGTTGACCCTTCAAAGCTAACGCCACAGTATATCGAGGAACAGCGCCGAATACGAAATGAAAGAAAAGAGCGTGAAAGGATTGACAGAGAGGCTAGAGGTTTATTTGATTCACCTGAACCAATTGAAGAATTTATCAAAAGACCCGTCTTGCAGGTACAACCTTCAAATGATGACAAGTTGAGCATCAAAATAATGTCTTATAATATCCTAGCTCAATGTTTGATACGCCGTGATCTTTACCCAACCAATGGTAAAATACTCAAGTGGTCAGTTAGATCAAAGGTGTTGCTTGAAGAGTTGCTTTGGTATGCGCCTGATATTTTATGTCTACAAGAATGTGACAAAATACAATATCTTCATTTCTGGCAGGCGGAATTAAAGAACCTGGGATATGACTCCAAGTTTTATCGATATAATACCAAAAACCATGGATTGGTCATTGCTTTTAAACAAGATTGGTTCACTTGCAAACATCAGTCATATATCAAATATGATCAAGAGTTCGAGTACGAGCCATATGAACCTAAACTACCAGATCAAAGAATTGTGACGAATAATGTTGGATTTATGTGTTTCTTGGAATTCAAACCATCACTAGTTGAACAATATCCATACTTGGCGGAAAGAAATGGTATGATAATAGGTACAACTCATGCATTTTGGCACCCATTTGGAACATACGAGCGAACAAGGCAAATATATATACTTTTACACAAGTTTAAAGAGTTTAAGCGAGTTTTGACTCTGATTTTAGGCAACAAGAAACCAATTTATTCATTTTTTACGGGTGATTTAAATTGTGAGCCATTTGATGCTCCATACCTTTCAATGACGGCAAAACCAGTCAAATACGACGGTCGAGCAAAGAATGTTTTGGGGTGTTCATTGAGTTACACATTTTCGAAAGAGAGGACCTTAGATGAGGACGAGCACGAGTCTAGTTCCAGTGAGGAGGAGGAGGAGGAGGAGGAGGAGTCAGGAGAAGGGTCTCAAGAAACAGAAGAGACCGACCCTGATGCTGCAAGGCTAAATAACCCGCTGGATCCAGAACCCGAGGTATTTACCCCTTCAGAGGAGCAAGAAAAGATGATACAACAGCTTGAAGATGCACATAATGGTCTTGATATCCGTGCAGTATCAATGTACTCAGCTGGATATGCAATTGTGCATCCGGAGAATGCAACAGAATTTCGCAACGAGCCAAGCTTTTCCAACTGGGTTGAAAAATGGAATGGAATGCTTGACTATATTCTACTTTTGGTTCCTTGGTTCAAAGATAAAGACTACTCAAATAAGTTGGATTCACTCCAATCCCTCGAAGAATATAACATTAAATTAACAAAGTTACTAAAACTACCCACTGCAAATGACATGGGCCCTAAACCAAATGGACAACCCCGATTGAACCAATACCCTTCCGATCATTTATGTATCATGGCCGAAATACAACTTTTGTAAAAGTATTGTTTAGTGTTCACCGGTCCAACATGGTGTCAACCAAGTCCTCCAAGGGTCCGTAATCTTTCCTAGTAATTAGTTTAAATTCATCAGCAAACAATACGAAATGTTTCAAACTAGTGTTTAAATGACTTTGTAATCCCAATTCTGTCACTTCATGGAAATGGTGGCAGTAGATGTGAGCGTAGATTCTAAATAATCTCTTGAAAATTGTCTTTACTAAAGTTGGGAACTGATGAGGAAAAGGGGCACCAATCTTGGATGGGAAAATGTTATCGTTATCAAAGAAGTTTTGTACCCAATTCATTAAGTTTTCAATGTACTCACAAGCTGGTAACGACACTGGCTTTTTAGGAGATGATACTATATTTGACCCATCATTTGATGGTGTTGGGTTGGATTCCTGCCACAAGTACTCGTATTCCTCAGTCGCAATCATACGGGGACATGTTAAAGGAGAGCAAAATTCAGTTATAGCACCGTATAGCATGTTAATTTGATTATAAAAATCAACGACATGTATTGCCAACCATTCATTCAAATCTTCATCTCGTGGTAGTTTAACTGCCTGAATCAAGGCATTATCGGAACCTAACGTTTGTTCGGCATAGTTTCTAATATCTTTATGTGATGATACGGTTTGACCACCAGTGGGTAATGTTTCTCTATTGATTGTTCTGTATGAGTTGAGCTGATACTGTTGCTGATTCAGGTTGGGTAACTGAGGCAGTTCTTGAGGAAAAGCTGAGCTACTGACTGGCTGCGGACTTGAGATTGGTGACGATTGTTTTAGTTTGAATCCTCTGGTTGATCTTAATGAGTGAGTATTGAAGTTTTGAAACAACGCCATGTTCTGTGCGTGTGTCAGTGTGTGTGTCAGTGTGTGGATAAGAGGTGGAAAAGATGTATTATGATTGCTGATACCGTTCAATGTGAGTATTGTATCCAGTTTATCTTTGAATATGTTTTCATGAAGATAGACATAAATTTTGAAATTCTTACCAGTGTTTTGTAATGTTTTGATTTTTGCCGTTTTAGTCTTTTTGTTTTTTTGATTTGCTCTTGTATATACAATAAGCCTTGTGTAAATTGTAGACTACCAAAAGAGGTAATCAAATGCATACAACCTCAATAGATCAATATTACAAGGTTTGAACAGGACACGACAAAATTGAGAAAAACTATTAACCACTCAATTGGAAAAGAGAGAAACACCAAACAAACGACTCTTGATTGAACTTCACCCTCACTACATACACGCTTAATATGGAAGTTAATCCTCTTAGATTAAAAAGGGATAATGATTCTGAAAATAGTGATGAAGAATATGAGCCTACGAAGGGTCCTGGTGTCTTGCATGCTCAAGATGATTTAAAGTTAGAAGAAGATTCTGATTCAGTTACACTGCAGATACCACAACAAGAAGAACAATCGGCAGTTCACGAGCTGCAAGAAGGCTCCTCAAACCATGATAACTCTGAAACATCACAGAAAGCAATAGAAAAACCCAATAAGGCTGCGCTGAATACCGAAACTCAAGTCGAACTGGAACACAATTCACATGAGAAGGTGGATGGTGCTAGCGACAGTAATCATGAACATGAGTCTTTTGTTCCTGAAGAATTGAATGCACATTATAACGATGATAAAGAAGGGACTTCAAATGGACAAGATGCAGCTCAGGAGACTGATTACGACAACTATGAGCCAGACTTGGAAGCCCCGGGCGAGGACAAGTCGGCGGAAAAGGGTAACATATCAAATGTCGAGAACGTTAAAGCTGATGCTCAATCTAAAGATGAAGATGACTATGATCCGGAAGAAGAAGAAAAGTTACTGGCTCCTGCATCTTTGCCTAGTAGGCCTCCAGCAGGGTTGCCTCCTAAACCGTTACAAAGTGCCAAAGTGGTGCCTTCCACAGCTCCAATAAGTGCCCAAGGAGAAATGGCAGAACTGTTGCGTAATGCCTACAATGCCTACATGCATAGCGGCTTTGCCAACGACCCCAGCTTTCTGGAATTGCCACAGTCGGAACAAGTTAGCTCAATCCAGGAGCTTTTGCATGAGCGAGAAATTGACTTGGGTAACGTGAATTGGGATCAAGTTTACTCCTACAATAAACCTTTTAAACAATTGAAAGATCCAATACCTTTAGTCCCTGTTAATGAGTTTTGTCGCAGGCCAAACATTACGACGCCGCTGACTCCTGAAGAGGAAAACGAGTACCAAGAATTTATTGAAAGGGAGAACCACTATATGAACTTGCAAAACTGGGATGAATTTCCCGACAAGCTGAGACTATTTGTTGGAAATTTGCCTGCAAATACAATCTCCAAACAAGATCTTTTTAGGATCTTTACTCAATACGGGGAGGTGATTCAAATTGCTATTAAAGCTGGATACGGATTTATCCAATTTAGAAGTGCAGATGCTTGTTTAGACTGCGTCAGGGGTGAAACAGATACGCCTTTACATAACAAAGTGTTGAGATTAGACGCTTCAAAGCCGCAGAAATCGAGAAGACCGGGTCACCCAGAAGTAAATAACCCAAACTTGAGTTCTCGTGGCAGAGAGAGGCCTTCTGCTGGTGACGAGCCTGAGAAGAAGAAACGAAAGGGTAGTATTGATTGTATTGTCTACATCACTGGAAAGTCGTCAGTGTTTTTCATTAGGAAGGTTAAAAAGGCGTTCGCTAGATGTCAGATACTGATTGGCACGGAAGACGTTACACAAAAGAATATTGCTGATGTTCTCAGTGAAGCTGCATATTCAGGATATTTGGGTGCGTGCGTTATTAAGGAACATAAAGTTGATATTCAGACCTATGAAGAACAGCACAATGGGGGCATAAAATTTGATGAGTATGCTGAAATTGATCCCGATGAAGCAGCTGAAGTTATGGCAAAGGCCAAGCTAGCAAAATACGGCAGTAACCCTCCTCCATACCATCCTCAAGATACCAGCTACAATGAAAATGCAAATGACAGAGGAAATAGGCAGCATGATCATGATAGAAACAGAGGAAATTTTGGAAGAAATAATAAACGAGGCAAGGGAAGACATGGTCACGCGAATGATTCGAGATATGGTCATGATACTTATGGTCGTCATAATAACAACTACTCCCAGCAAACTTGGTCAAACCCAGACCCTTATCTGCAGTTTCCTCTGCAGCAGCCACAGCAGCCACAGCAGCAGCAACAAGTGTATGGTCAAGTTCCACTGGGTCAGTTCTCTCCTTTTGCTCAGCAGCAGCAGCAGCAGCTACAAGGGCAATTTTCATCACCATATGGATTTCAACAACCCCAGCAACCGGTTTACAACCAATTTGCTTCGGCGCAACAGCAACCACCGTTGAACTTTAATCAACCAAACATTGCTCAAGCATTACAATCTCTTAACGCAAACCAAGTACAGAGCATGATTAATCTCTTGCAGCAGCAGCAGCAGCAGCAGCAACCCCCTCAACCAGGTGCACCACCACTAGGATCATCATATCCTATGCAAAATCAACCTCAAACTGCGCGGGTTACACAGCCCGTGCCATCACCAGGACCCACACCCGCCGCATATGGTCAACCACCTCCTTTAAATTACAGTGATGGAGGACGTAGAAGGGGACCGAGGGGCCCCAACTATGGATCTAGTAGTCGGCCCTATGGCAATGTCCCGCAACCCCACCAAAATCATTCTCCAGGGATTAACATGAGCCAAACAGACACCCGTCCTAATGATTTACTTTCTCAGTTACAATCCCGTAACTATTCTCAAGCTGGAAATTCACAACAATCTAGTTCAAACAGCGAGCTAATGGAAACATTACAAAGATTAGCCAAAAGATAAAGCTGATGATAAATAAGCTACGTGTTTTCTTTTTTACTTCTTTTTTTTCAATTTCTAAAGCTGAGTACAAAAACATAAACAATAATTTACGTGACCTGAATAGTATTAATAACCTTTCATGTTCTAGATAACCCAGATGCTAGTCAACAATATCGGTGCTATCTACCTGTTTCTCATCTTCATTTTCCTGCTCATTGAATTCTTTTTTCAATTGTTCAAATTCCTTTTCATCTTCTATGTACCCATTGATTCCAATAACTCCACATTCGTTGAATATTTCCAAAATCTTTTCCGCATCTTCGACCTTCAACTTGGCAAATTCCTTGTTCACTTCGTCCAAGCTTTGCGTCTTGATAGCGTTTTGAAATTCAAATGGTAGTTTCGAGCTGAACACTTCATACTCCTTAGTTCCTTCTTCGGGAATATTGACAGTCAATGTAGTGTTTTCATCTAATGCTCGTAACTGAATCAAGGCTTCCTCATCATTAGCATTATTTGCCTGTTCTTGTTTGATTATTTCACATCTTTGCGCAATGTGATTGACTGTATTGGTAAACTCTTCATTGAAAAAGGCCTTCACCTTATCATCATTTTGAAACTTTGTAAACAACATCTTTATTGCCCGAATTGTATCGTCTCGCGAAGTACTATTTCCCTTGATTTGTGCGACATACTGTAAAAGCAACGACTGGTGCACGATTTGTTTGGCTGTTGTAGTGTCGCCTTCTAGTTGCGCATCAAATGCCAACATGATTAGAGCATCCTTCTGTTCTTCGGTACATATTTTGGTGTGCTTGATCAAGTAGTCAGCTGATTCCGAGAGATTTTTTGGATCTATAGTACCAAACTTATCTGTCTCAGGCAAGAGATTAATAGCATCCAACAACGATTTTTCGATCTCTTCTGCATCAGATTGGGTGACTACTGGTGAACTGGTGGTTCCTTTTGGAGGAGGCGTGGAAGTTGTAGTTGATGGCTGGGGGGCAGTTGACTCTTTTCCTTTCGCTTTCTCTGTTACCTTCTTTTTCTCTTTCTCCACCTTCTCCTCTTCCTCTTCCTCTTTCTCTTTCTCCTTATTCAAAAACGATCTATCAAACCCGGTATGAAGATCATCACTAACAATAAGTTGCGCCTTTTGATTTAACAAATCATCCAATTTAACAGTTTGCTTACTTAAAACGTCATCAATTTTAGCCCTGTGCGTCTTCAAATAACAAACCAATTTCTCTCCATCGGTTTTAGCATCTGCATGATCATCTTTTACTTGGATAAACAAATCTTCAATCATTTCATTATAAGGAGGCGTGTTCTCAGTCTCTTCTTTGTCAAATTTTAAATCTTGCAACCCTTTTCTCAAAGTGTTACCTTTGGATGCAATCAACTTTTCATAATCAAATTTCTCCTTGGGATCAAATTTTGAATTCAAAGTAGACATGACTAAACCGTTTTCCAATAGTTGCTCAGGAGTTAATGTGCTAAGTAAATAGTCGACTCTTTCATTCAATTTGGCATACATTGTTAATTGGAGTAGAATTGACTTGATTTCGATGTTTCGTTGCATCCTTTTCTCATGGATGTCTCTTTGCTTCCATCTGATGAAAGAGTTTTTGTCGACATTTGGATGGACTTCGACATCTGAGTCATCAGAGATCTCTATTTTATCCCACTTGGAGTAGTCAATTGGCATGTCTAAAGTGCGTGTTGTAATAAAAAAAGGTGGTTGCCGTTTACTTTTTGTTTTGGCGTGCCCTGGTTTCTTTGATTTCTAGAGTGTTCGATCTGGTATGTCGTAATTTATAAATTTCGACACTGAAAATTACACGACAGAGATTTCTTTTTACAATTTGGAGTTAATCGAAGTTTATCAAGACAACTTTTATTTTCTATTACAACTACTTCATGCTGTGCCATTTGGTCTCAAACCAGTAAAGAAAGCTAACCCGTAACCGGTAGTTTCAAAAGTAATCGTTGTACCCTTTGGGAAGTAAAATACATCACCGGGGGAAACGGAAACCTTTTTGCCAGTCTCATCAGTCAATGTGTATTCACCTTCGACCTCCAAGATGATTTTCATCTCATCGTAGTCGTACGTGTAAACCAATGGCTCCCCCTTTTCTTGTCTATAAAAACCGGCAGATATTTGCTTGTCTTTTGGAGCATCAGAAGTGAAAATATCACCTAAGAACGAATTGTTACCTGGGGATGGAATTTGAGGTGGTTTAACTTGTTGAGCTTCAGTAGCTGGCTTATATTGCATAGGCATTTTTTTGGGAGATGATATATATTTGAGTAACTAAGACAGGAATTGATGGTTTAAAAGTAATGAATATCTTTCTTTTCTTTTTCTCATTTCTTAAAACTGGCAGTTTTGACTGGTATTTATATCGTGGTTGAGAGTTTGGGGTTCTAATCCTCATACCGAATTATTTGACTTAATTCGGTTTAAAGATCCTTAAAATGCAGTGTGGGTTAAAACCTTTGTTTTTTTGTAAATGCGCGGTAATTTTTAGTCCTTTTACAGCGATAGCCAAATTGACACCAAAAGACCGCACATAGTCGATATCGAACTTTGTTATCTCGGCGCGTATTTTCTGTAATGCAAATGCGCTGCTAGATATAATTTTGTAGCACAGCACTACAAAAGAACTAGCAGGAAGGATCCTTTCGAAGCGAAGTAACATTAAGAGGGGTATTTGCAAACCGAAACTGGGCATAAAAAGTTTCTTTATTCAATACATACAAATATACAAAAGCTACTAAGTTCTGTCTTTTCCATTTTAATCCATTTTTGGCCTTAAGCCTGTAAAGAAAGCTAAACCATAGCCTGTGGTTTCAAAAGTAACAGTTGTACCTTTTGGGAAAAAGAATACGTCACCGGGGGCAACCTTGACCTTAAGACCAGTTTCATCAGTTAAAGTGTATTCACCTTCGACCTCCAATATAATCTTCATTTCATCAAAATCATATTCATAAACTAATGGTTCCCCCTTTTCTTGTCTGTAGAACCCGCATGTAATTTGCTTGTCTTTTGGTTGATTAGAAGTGAAAATATCACCCAAGAAGGAGTTATTTCCTGGTGATGGAATTGAGTTTGGTTTAACCTCTTTACCTTCAGCGGCTGGTCTGTATTGCATAGGCATGTTGTTTGTTGTTTTGTTTGTTCCTAGTTGGCTGGTACTTGTCAATCAAGTTGAATTCAGGTATCCCTTCAAGGGGAAACTGTCTAACAGCAGCATTATTTATATATTCCAGAAACCATTGACACACATGCACGCTAGGTTCTACCTGGCTTCCTTGCTCATGTCACCTGACGCATTTTTATGCTGCATAGTTGTCTGGGGATTTGGAATTGCAAAACCAGAAAACCGCGCATCCCAAAACAGCAAATGAATCCACTATAGACAGATGTGACACAAAATTAAAGCTCTGTTAAACTTAATTAGCGGTTGGACCTCTTTCTCCTGTGGCCACCCATCATACTCCCGCCACCATCAATCGAGCGTCTACATATATAGCTAGATCATTAGCGCATAACTCAAATTTCATTCAGCAAGCCGCTATATAAAAAAAAGAAAAAAAATAATTCAGTTCTAGATGGCAAAAATAAATGTTCTATTCATCCTCAACCAAAGGTAAGCATGCATCAATGCACACTTCAACATCACCCTTGTTTATAAAAATAACATCCTTTAAAATATTAGTGTCCAATGTAGGAAAGACATCTTTAAGAATATCATATGCCGCCTTCATTTGCTCCGAGTCTATTTCTTCATCGGTGGGTGTCTCAGGTTGGTATTGGCCATTACTGTGGCCAGCATTAGGAGCTGCATGGGGTAAAGAATGCAGTGGCTTTCTTGGGGGCAAGGCAGGAGGTGGGGGAGATAAAGTGTCATCTCTTCTGCCCAGCGCACTGGTTTCGCGGGGATTTGAGTTTTGCGGCAGTGGCGACAAGAATTGAGAAATAGACTTGGTCAACATTTCGGCACTCGAGAATAATACGTTTGAAGGAGACAAGTTATTCCCTGTTTGTGACATTTCATCATTTTCAAAAGAACCGGCATGTATATGACGTGGTTGAGGTTGCGATAGTTTGCGTTTTGGGGTGGGGGGTTTTTGATCTGACTCTTCACGCTGTTGCTGGAGTTCTTGTCGCTTCAATTCAATCTTTTGAAGTCTTTCCAATTCCTCTTTCTCTTGCTTTTCTCTTAATTTGTTCTGTGCTTCCCATGCTTCCATATGCGCCTCATACTCTTCATCGGTAATTGTCAAGTCATCTTTGGTCATATTTTGAATAAAGGTGATCGCACCTTGAATCGAAGAAAGGTAGTAGCTTGTTTCACCATGTGAAAGCCATTCCTTTCCTCGAAAACTTTCAATATAATGGATATTACTTATCAAATGCTCTGTTTTGGCCTTGATGATCACCAAGATTAACAACGGGATGAATGAGTCTGCATTAGTCTCCTTGTTACTAATTTTTAAGTAGCTGAAGATAATCTTGCAAGAGTTCAAAATGCATATAATTTTATCTCTTGGGGCACGATAGTTGTTGATCTTGTTCAACTCCGTAGTTGCATAGTCCAAAAAGTCCTGACCGTCCTTCAAACTTACCGAGCTCAAGTGTGTCATGTCAATATCAAAGTGCAACCCATTTATCCAGCTGTATTTTTCCAATTGCGTAGAAAAGTTTTTGTCTTGGATTAAATCTTCGGTATAAGGTACTGGAATGTGCATTGGTGAGGCGTTCTTTAAAACTTCTGGGGGAAAACATAAATCATAAAGTCGATTCATTAAAAGCTTTTCCAATCCTTCGCGCGAGTTTTCCAAATCTATACTATCCATTGAAGCAAAAGGTTCGTAGATTTTGAATTTTTCGTTTATAAAGCTTTTGAAGTCGTCAATTATCGAAATTCTCTGTTCAGCAGAAAACGTGTTTACCTGCTTTATATAAGAACCAAGAAATGATCTTAAATAGCGAACAATGGGATCTGCTGACTTTTTCCGTAACTGCATCAAGAATGTTTGGAAATCAAATGCTTTGTGAGACTCTTGGTGTTGCTCAGTGGGATTTACCTTGTACTTTATATTTAAATGTGACTTTCCAACAGGGCCCTCAGACTGAGAAGATCCTAGGTCCTTTGTGTCAATCTTTATGTCATCGATTCCTTTACATTCAGTTTCATTTCCAGTAATATCACCCAAGGGTGTTTTAGAAGGCGAAGCAGTAGATGAAGGTAATTGCGAAGTTAAAGAAGCATTGCTGGCATATGAAGCAGTATCACTAGCTGTTATATCGGTGTTGCATTTTTTGCTCTCTTCATAACCCGTTGACAAGCTATCACGCGATTCAACATCAGAATGATGCTTTTCAATCTGTTGATGCATTTGAGTTGAAGCCTCGTCTAATGAATTACCTTTATCTGATGGCTGGTTATCTTGCTGATGACTATTTTGCTTTCGATTAATTCCCAACTCGTCGTCGTCAGTGGCTTCTCTTGTATCTTCTTTGGTGTCACTGTTGTCTGCGTTAGTTGCAACTGTTGCTTTTGTAGTCTCTTTCTTATCCTTTTGTTCACCACTACTGTCCACTTTCTTTTCACTGTGACTATCATCAACATTCAACGGTGACGTCAGGGATGATTCTTCAGGAGGAAAATAAGGCTGTATGGTCATCATTAAATGTGCTGTATTACTTATTTTTTCAGAAGTTTGTACTGGCTTTTGCTTATCCTTTTCTGCTGTAGAGATTGTCTCCTTGCTAATATCACCATCATCCAGCTCCATTTTCTCAAGCTTGTCTTCGGTATCCTGTTCGTCTTCAATTGCTTTCTTCTCTGACGCAACTTCTTCTGTACCCAAGCTGATCAAATCTTCCAGAGCTCTCGATTTGCCAGTGGTAGCCAGTTGGTTAACTCGGTCGCCCTTGATGTCGAATTTATCGAATAGTCCTATTAAATCTGTCTTTGACTTGCCCTTAGTTTGTATATTATTTGCTTCATTGTCAATGGTGACAACGGCTGGTGCAATAAGGGTTGGGCTGAGGCCTAATTTTGAGCTCGATGGTGAAGCTTTAAATGGTAAATGATCAACAGTGTGGCCCTCCGGCTCACTTTGGAAAAGTGCAGATTCATTTTGGGGTTGCTTGGTTGACAGTGATGTTTGCAACTTTGTATTTTCCTCCAAAGGTGCTAGCAGTCCTGTATGTTCCGTTTTGTTGCCATCAGATGAGGATGTTTGCAAGACCGGGGAGTCAGTGTTGTTATTATTATTATTATTATCCTTGGATGACGATATAGTTGCCTTTGAAAACGTAGTGTTTGTGTTGCTGGTAGATGTGGTTGGCGTTGATTTTGAAACGCTAAACGCAAGGTTATTGAAGGACATGTTGCATGTATGAGAGTGTGATTCCGGAACAACAACAATTGGTGGGTACGGGTAGGATATAAGTAGATATAATAAATAAGAGAGGGATTTCAATTATTACAGACAGAATTTTTTTTTTTGTTCTTTTGGTTCCTGTTTGGGTTTGAGTAAAGAAACAATAGAGGATCAATGGTGTGAAGGATATCGCTAAAAGAGGCTTTATTTTGGCTACCAAAGAGGAGCGTTCACTGTTCCACCAGGAAAACTGACCTGTAATCCATTGAACTTGACACTAGAAAGAACATCGGCTCCTGAAAAGTCAAACATTATCTAGGCACTGTCGCCCATTTTTGTGTAAGAGGTCGGCTAGGAAAGTTTTTATACAACAATAGCAACGTATTTTGTGATTGTCTTCAGTGAGGGAAAATAAAAATACAGTCCATTTAGAAGTATATATAATCTATTTATAATTTTTCTTCCTTCGCAGCATCATCGTGGGAAAGATTTGTGAACGGTTCAGTTGATGTTTCAAGTTTCTTCCTTATAGTGTCAATTTTAATGTATCTATGCACCTTTTGTGCACTTGGCCTCTTCTCGTCCTCTTCGTTCCTACTGTCTTCTTTCCCCAAGTTCTTCTTAAGGTTGATTTTAACTATTGTCCCATGGATAGATACCAACAGATTTGTCTTGGAAACAATCGGTCTACTGGAAATGAACTTTAGAGAGTCTCTTGGCAATTTGATCCGGACCTGGCAATGTGATGAATCGAATTTTACCAAAGATGATAATTCCAGCACCGAGTGTTCAATGGGATGTCTTTCAGCAGCCTTTTCAACTCCTTCTGGTTGAGATTTGAACGATATCTTCAAAGATGGTTTAGGCCTAACATGTTCTTCAGGTTTTTGAACTTTTCTATTCGTAGGATGGCTCAGCGGCTTGCGTGAAATCAATTGGATTTTAAACCTACCTTCTCTTCTGAATACCACTTGACCATCTCCTAAATTCCTTGCAACAACTTTCTTTTTAAATTCTGCTATTGGCAAACTCGGCACAGATAGTTTTACCACAAGGGTATCCTTTTCTTCATAGAGCACTTCTGCCATCAAAAACAAATTGCGCTTCACGTAATTGCTCAATAAAGCTGAGTGCAAAAACTTCCAAAATACATGTTTCAAACTCTCGATATTTGCATAATCACGTCTTAACAACTCTATGGCACCATTCAAAGTAGCTCTGGCATGTAAATCATGTTTCGCCCTCATGTCAGAATTGGTTCCCTCATCGATAATAATCATATTTGGTTGTGCAGTGCCAGGACGATTACTGTCTTGCCTATCGATTGGAGCAAAACTTCCCTGAAGTGCAATCATCGTAATTGATTCAAGTAGAATGCCAATAAGTTTCCGAGTGTATAATGGACGGTGGAAATTTAACAAGCACACTTTAAGGAAATACTCAAGAATCAGTATTGAACGGAGTCCACTGAGTAACAAAAGACCTTTAAACGCTGCAGCACGTAGGTCCATTGGGTATTTATCGACTGTTGCCATCATCAAGCTTTCCAAAGAAATGGGGGCTGCATCACATAGAGACATCTGCACTCTCGATTTGAAACATGTAATTTGCAATATTCTCTGATAAGAGGGTCTCCATTCATCAAGTTTCTGTAGCCTTGTAACCTCAACAGCAACTTTACGAGCAAATTCTTGATTATTGTGTTCCACGATGTCCTTACGCCATCCACTAATAGCACTAGTTGTCAAGGCCTTGATAAGGTCAGATAAATAGAGAGTGTCCTGATACTCATTCATTGAATTATCATTGAATTTGACCAAGTTGAACAAAAGTTCTTGCACATCCGTAGGCACTCTGCCCTCATCATCAGTAACTTTGCACAAGATACTAGGAATTTCCCTCTGAATAAAAAAGGACCTAAAATCACTGAAATCGTTTGATTTCGGTATTGAACTATCGGGGAAACAGTACAAGTATTTGTACGCTTTAATTAAATACTTTACTCCAATAAAGTCATTTGAAGAATTTGAACATGCTGCAAGGGCTTCCGCAGCTGCAATTCGTATACGGTAAAAGTACCGTTCATCTAAAAATGTCCGGACAAGTGCTGTGCAATAAATGTCAGATGGCTTTTCGAGGCTGCCAAAGTAGCGCACAGCATCTAACTGAGCTTCTACATCTCTGTCATAAACAAGTTGGGACCCATACATGAAATCTGGCTGCAATACTTCAATCTTGGCAATCCATTCAAAATCAATATCACCTCTTATCCATTCAAAGGGCTCACTAGCCAAAGAGTCCTCATCTCTGCTTTCCCAGTCTTGTAAGTTCCATTTCCTCTTCTCCTCTTCACTGGTTAGGATATCTCCAAATTGATTGAAGTTTATTCCTGGATCCACTCCTTCGTCCTTCTTTTTAATCTTTCGCACTTTTTTCGACAACAGGATATCTATGGTTGTTTTCATTTCCTTTATGTGAATAATGTGCTCATATGGAGTACCATCAGACTCATGGACCCTGATGTTCATAGGCCCAGTGAATACATTTTGCCTTTGTGACATGGGCTCCCTGTTGATGAAACATATCGCGTCATCCATAAAAGACTCCGCATTTAGCGCAACCGTCTTGTTTTCATGATGTTGCACTTGTCTTATGATCATCTCGATCATTCCCTTTTTTTTATTGAACCGTTGACTTATTTTGAAACTGGGCGCACCAGAACCAAATACCCATTGTTTGAAAAAGCTATCCAATTTATTTCGATTGACTTTTTCACAAACATATTGAAAATGGTCAGTACCCAACGTTCCATTGGGTAAATCCCCCGATAGAGCTTGCAAGAAAAGCTTAGGAATCACTCTCGATAACCCAAATGATTTATCTGTCTTTGTCATCCTGTTGTCCAATATAAAGAAAACAATTGGAGATTTCAATTTGATAAACTCCAAGTCTAAGTCAGACACAGGGAACTTTAAAAATGGATGTGCGATCGGCCTCTTGTCGACATCTTGTTCCACAATTTTGTTCATGCGGTCCCTTATTTTAAATCTGAATTCATTAGTTCCCATTAGCTTTTGAACAAAAGATATGGCCATGAAACCAGCTATACCCAGGGTACACCATATGTCGTCAAATGTGCGAGGCGCAATATTAATCCCAGACCACTGAGTGGCTATACTAGTTAACAAAATATCCGTTGAGGTAAACATGGGCTCTATCAAATCAGGTGGATAGAGCAACGCTGTCGACAATATTGACAACCCTGCAAATCCGTTACTTTTCACGGGCGAGAACCTAGCAAAAACAATCACATATGAGCTAAATGGATACGATCCAAATTCACTCAGGAAGAAGCTCAATGCTTTACTAGCAACAAGGCATGTGTTTTTAGCCGATTCCATATCGTTTGGTAACGCATATATAGTTACCAGAGAGCTTGAATTATCCTTGTCATTATACTCGTCATCAATGTCCATGTTGTTGATATCATCACCTTCAATAGGCTGAGATCCGTCATTTAAAACAATACTTTCAAAAAACCCCAATGCCCAGCCGATATGATGCGCAGATACTGAATTAAAGATTGACCAGGAAACTACCTTCTTTGACAAGTCGATAGGGTGCGGTGTTTCTTTAGCATTGTTTGTGTCAGAAGAGCACACAATCAAGTCGGGATTTTCATCATCCTCATCTTCAGCCACTTCATTGTCAGGTTCACCTGCACTACTCTTGGCTCGATTTTGATATGCGATAGCTTCTTTTGAGCCAATAATCCTTGGATTGCCAATATCCTTTAATGTTCTCGGGATACTCACTTCTAGGGACCATGTACATCGACTATTGGAGTTATCAAGACAAGGAACCCACGAAGAAGTGGATACGCTATATTCCGAATTGGTCGTATAGGCATGCCATAGCTTCTTTTCTATATCGTCGTTTGTGATGAAGTTTATTCCATTCTTTGGGTGTTTCAACTCGTAATTAATTTTTATTTGGATTGGTTTGTAAACCTCGTTGATAGTGTGTTTTGATTTCAAATGGGTTGGTGTCATGGTATTTGGTTGGCTCCCATGAGGTGTCGTAATGGAGTTGATGTCTGTAGGTTCAAATTTTATGTTTTCCGGTAGTAGTATCTTGAGCTCTTGTGTTCCATATACTGCAGATTCGTTCAATTCTTCATCTTCAGTTGTGTATCGTTCACTGAATATGTAGTTCAATTTCCTTTTGATGAAATGATGCTGATGAATATCAAACTTATCGGAATAAAGATCAAGCATGTTTATTTTATTATCTTCAATGGAGTCAGATGTGATGGCAGGGTCATTGATATACAACATGTCGTCATAAATGTAATTTGTATTTGGTATCCCATTGATGTAGATTTCCTTCACTTTTAGTTCTCGACAATCCAACTTGATCACCTTCAACTTCGTGGACAATGGTATTACACTAAGCTCCGTGGTACCATCTATTGAATTGGATGACAAGTCGACATCAATGCTTACATTCTGATGACCAACTTTGAAAAGTCGTTGCTTTGCGAAATGAAATGGACTCGATGTTCGCCCATTTAGTTTGGGCTTGGGGGTATGCTGCTGTAGTCCATCTATGTACCTCGGTGTACTCATATGAGAGCCAAGACCGAGATCGTTAGGAATTACTGAGGGCATGATGGTGCACCTGTTATATATATATATATATATATGTACTGAGAATGCCTCTCTACCTTCTTCCTCTGGCAACAGATTGATTTAAACTGTTTTTGTTTTATTTTTCGTTTTGCATGAAAAGTCGTGTGCGAGTAAACGAATCTTGAGGAACATTCTTTTCTTAACATTTACATTTTTGCACCCAAAATTACACCTTTATTCGAGACTAGACATGTATTAATACATATATTTACGATATAGTTAGATCTACAAAGTCATATTTGTTTGATTTAAGAGCCCACTCAGTTTTAATCGCAGTGTCGGCAATATGCAATGTTGGGAAAGCCACAATTCTGCCATTTTGAAATATGGCTGGCAATGTGTCGAGTGTTTTGTCAATGTTAACTACACTATTCGCCTTTAGGCTTTTACTGACAATTGAGGAATGAATCTTGTGTAAGTATGGGCCAATGGTGATAACACTGTCCGTCTCTTCAAGTGACTTAAAACGTAACCAGAATCTCTTGTCATAAAGATACCACTGGGACCAATATTGGTTTATTGCTACCTCGAACGAACTAATTTTCAACTCAGTTCGAGTTAGTGGAGCTCTTGTGATACTTATTTCAACCTCAGAAGCACTGTCATTATTTGTCACTTCAAAAATCAAATTCATGATGGAATACCTTACTACCGCTGACCTTGAGCTTAATAAAAACAGTTCCAACTTTGGCAAAAGACCCCTCTCGAGCTTTGCATATGCCCAGTGGTAGTGGTTCAAAGTTGAGTAGGGGTATAGTCTCTGGTAAAGGAATTTGCTTGTAATGATCTTGTTGTATCCAATTAAGCATTTCTTGGGAAGCTTCATCTGTAGTGATCCGAATTCAGGTGATTCTGAAAATTTGTGTTGTCGTAATAACTGCCGATAAAGTCTATATGCTTTCAGCTCAAACTGCTGCGCAAGGCGAGCACATTCTTGTTGAGACTTGGCTAGCTCGTCCTTGGTAATTGATTTATAAGGAAAACATGTTGACGCTACTTCCGCAACGCCAGAGCAGCTTTTTCCTTCTTGAGATCCAAAATCAACCATCATTTGGGGCAACAATCTTCCAAATAAATTTCTCAAATAGTTTCGTCGCGTTAGTTTAGTGTCATTGTTTGTTGGATCAACCACATAGGGAATTCCATTCAACTTGCAAGTAGATAATATTGTCTTCTTTTCAAAAGCTAAAAGAGGTCTCACCAACCTTACCGGGGAAAAAGTCGACAACTGTGATGGGTCAAGGTCCTCTGTTAAAGGGATATTAGAAACTTGCCTCGTGCAAGCTAAGCCGAAGATTGAGGAGTTTCCTTGAAGCCGTTGAACAAATGTTTCTACCTGATCATCACAATGATGTCCCAACACCACGATCGAAATGCCAAGTGTGTTACATATTGACCTGATGGCTTCATAACGCTTTGTTCTAGCCACTTCTTCGAAGTTGGCGATAGTCTTGGGGTCGACGTTATAGTTCAATTTTTTAATGGTGTGTTTAACATTCCATCGTTGCATTACTTGTGATATTTGCTCCGCCTCGATTGTCGATTCAGGCCGGTAATTGTGATCTATAGTAATTGCATGTAGTTCTACAGTATCATCTTGCATATATGACTTGTATTTCAGTAATAGCCACACGAGTAGCATGGAGTCTGGTCCACCTGATAATCCAATGGCAATCTTTTTTGGTATAGACTTGGAACCAAAGCATTGCTGTAGTACCAGTTTGAAAGATTGAACTGATATGTTCTTCATCTAGTGGGGGAGGGGAGGAGGGGCGTCACCTCATGTAAATATAGGTACGGATCGTTTCTTTGGAAAGTGGTGGTAGTGGGTATATAAAATTTTCCACATTGGTTAGTAAAGTAGTTTGAAGTTGCAAATTGACACAGAACGAGAAAAAGATGAAGAGAAAAAAAATTTCGCAGAGAGAGAGAGAGAGAGAGAGAGACAAAGAGAGAAACAAAATTTTCAGATTAGTCATATAAATAGTATCAACTTTACAAAACTCATTAAACTAATATATCACTCACCTACCTACCTACTTACTTACCTACCTCCCCCACCCCGCAGAATATGAGTGAACAACCTTCTGACAATGTACCTCAGGGTGCATTCAGCTTCCCCAAGGAAGAAAATGAAGTTACCAAACAATGGGACGAGATTAACGCATTTCAACGATCATTAGAATTAACTGAAGATTTACCACCATTTGCTTTCTTTGATGGACCTCCTTTTGCCACAGGTACTCCCCACTATGGACACATCTTGGCATCTACTGTCAAGGATATCATTCCTCGTTATGCCACCATGAATGGGTATCACGTTGAGAGAAGATTTGGATGGGATACTCATGGATTACCAGTAGAGCACGAGATTGACAAAAAATTGGGTATCACTTCAAAAGAAGATGTGTATGCCATGGGTATCGACAAGTACAATGCTGAATGTAGGTCAATTGTTATGAGATATGCTGATGAATGGAGAAGAACCATCAAGAAATTGGGTAGATGGATCGATATGGACAATGACTACAAGACATTGTATCCTGAATTTATGGAATCTGTATGGTGGGCTTTCAAGCAGTTGTTTGATAAAGATGCCGTGTATAAAGGATTGAGGGTTATGCCATATTCAACTGCTTGTACTACTCCATTATCCAATTTTGAAGCACAACAGAATTATAAAGAGGTTAACGATCCAGCTATCACCATCGCATTCCCCTTGGTTGATGATCCAGATACTGTATTGGTAGCATGGACCACTACTCCATGGACCTTACCTGCCAATATTGCCTTGGCCGTCAATCCAGATTTCACGTATGTCAAAATTTATGATGAGACTGCCAAGAAATACTACATCTTGTTGGAGGCATTGATTGGAACATTGTACAAGAAGCCAGCTCAAGCTAAATATAAGGTTGTTGAAAAGATTTCCGGTAAGGATTTAGTCGGATTGAAATATGTACCATTATTTGATTACTTTTATGATACGTTTAAAGACTATGGATTCAAGGTTATTCCCGGATCCTATGTTACTGATGACTCAGGTACTGGTATTGTCCACCAATCTCCATCTTATGGTGAAGAGGATTTCAACTGTGCCACTGCTGCCGGAGTCATTAATGAGAAAAGGTCACCACCAAGTATCGTTGATGACACTGGTAAAATGACCTCAGATGCCAAGTTAGTCTCAGGAATGTATTTCAAGGATGCTGATAAGGTTATCATTAAGAAGTTGGTCGAAGAAGGAAGAATCTTGGTCAATTCTCAAGCCAGACACTCGTATCCATTTTGCTGGAGATCAGATACTCCATTGATGTATAGAACTGTTCCGGCATGGTTTGTTAGAGTCGGTGAAATCATTCCTGATATGTTGAAGAATATTGAAAAGACCCTGTGGGTTCCATCGAATGTCAAAGAGAAGCGTTTTTCCAACTGGATTGCCAATGCTAGAGATTGGAATGTGTCTAGAAATAGGTATTGGGGTACACCAATTCCAATTTGGGTTAGTGACGATTTTGAAGAAATAGTTTGTATTGGTTCAATTGATGAATTGAAGGAATTATCGGGAAGAAACGACATTACTGATATCCACCGTGAAAGTATTGACTCAATCACCATTCCATCGAAAAGAGGAAAAGGTGAATTGAAGAGAATTGAAGAAGTTTTTGATTGTTGGTTTGAATCTGGTTCTATGCCATATGCATCAAAGCATTATCCATTTGAAAACAAGCAAAAATTCTTGGATGCATTCCCAGCAAATTTCATTTCTGAGGGTTTGGATCAAACTAGAGGTTGGTTCTATACATTGACCGTATTGGGAACCCATTTATTCAATACTGCACCTTATGAAAATGTCATTGTTACAGGTATTGTTTTGGCTGCTGATGGTAAGAAAATGTCAAAGAGATTAAAGAATTACCCTGACCCAACTTTGGTGTTGGATAAATATGGTGCTGATGCATTGAGATTGTACTTGATCAATTCGCCCGTATTAAGAGCCGAAACTTTGAAATTTAAGGAAGACGGAGTTAGGGAAATTGTATCAAGTGTGTTGTTGCCATGGTATAACTCATACAAGTTTTTCAAAGACAGTGCTGATCTTTTCAGAAAGAACACGGGTGAAACATTTGTTTACGATGCCAGTTTGAAGTCGACAAATATTATGGACAGATGGTTATTGGCATCTATCCAATCATTAATTCAATTTATTCATGAAGAAATGAGAGGTTACAGATTGTACACCGTGGTGCCAAGATTGTTGGCTTTCATCGACGATTTAACTAATTGGTACATTAGGTTTAATCGTCGTAGAATCAAGGGATACTCGGCCGATGATGTTGAAGATACGAAAAAGGGTCTCAACACTTTGGCTGAAGCTCTATTGATCTTGTCTAGAGCTATGGCCCCATTCACACCGTACTTGGCTGATGGTATTTATCAAAGAATCAAACAATACTTCACTGAGGAATCATTGGAGAGAATTGTGGTTAATGCCAAGCATAAGGATTTAAGATCGGTCCATTTCTTGCATTATCCTCAAGTGCGTCCTGAATTATTTGATAAACAAATTGAAGTTGCCGTTGGTAGAATGCAAAAAGTCATTGATTTAGCCAGAAACATTCGTGAAAAGAAAATGATTTCATTAAAGACTCCATTACAAGAATTGGTTATCATAAACTCCGATCCTGAGTTCCGTAGAGACGTGCAATCATTGAAGGGCTACATTAGTGATGAATTAAATGTTCGTGATATCATCATTACTGATGACGAATCGAAATACTCTGTCGAGTATTCACTTGCTGCTGACTGGCCAGTCTTGGGTAAGAAGTTGAAGAAAGATGCAAAGAGAGTCAAGGCAGCATTGCCTAATGTATCTTCGGATGAAGTCAAACAATTTGCCTCGTCAGGTAAGATCACCGTTGATGGAATCGATTTAGTGGCTGAGGATTTACAAGTGTTGAAGGGATTGTCCGAATCCAAGATTTCTCATGGACAAGAATTTAGATCTTTCCAAGATTTATTGATCATTTTGGATATCAATGTTCATCCAGAATTGGAAAGTGAAGGATTAGCTCGTGAGCTCTTGAATAGAATCCAAAGATTGAGGAAAAAAGCCGGATTAAATTCAACCGATGACGTTTTGGTCAAATACAAGTTGATCAAGGATAATTGTTCGTTTGAAACTGTTGTTGATCAAAATAAGGATTTGATTATAAAGACAACCAAGTATCCTGTTGAACCGGTATCTGAAGGGGCAGCTGCTGATGAGGCAATTGTTGTTATTATCGATGAAGAACAACAAATTAATGATACCGTGTTTAACTTGCAATTGTTGAAGTTATAGATCGAGACATGGTATATATTTATATACAAAGAAGTAAATAAATAATTGTGACATAGACGATGGCAAAATGTAGTGGAGGATGGTTAATCTCTTGAGGATGGGGATATATCCCATGTGCTCAATCCAGCCCCTCCGACAACCAAAACGTCTCTACCACCAACTGTAGTCACATCACAGCATCCAGTATCTGAAACCGTAGTGTATCTAGCGTCTTGACGGACCAAGTCATCGTCAGTAAATGACCATATCCTAATCATTTGGTCTACTGAAACAACAGCAACTAGATTACCTTTTACATGTGAGATTGAAGTGATGGTAGCTGATGCAGCACCGTGCTGGCTCTTGATGAGTTGTAGCTTGACTTGGGAATTGTCTCCTGGGGTCAATAGTGAAACCGCAAGAGCATTATCATCACTACCAGTGATTAAATATACTCCATTGTCGTTTGGTATCAAACAGATTGCCTTGACTCCGCTTTGATGAAGTATCAGTTTGCATACTTGTACTGGTGATTTGGGATCTGATATATCATAAACAGTGATATTTCCATCAGTAGTAGCAATCAATAAATAATAAGCCCCATCTTGATAATTGTGGCCGTTGCTCAATTTGAAAAATTGACAATGCAAAATACAACAAGTTGCATAGCTCCATTCATTAATCAAATCAAATCTAGCCAGGGCCTTTTCAAACTTCCATAATTTGATCATGGAATTTGAATAAACTGTAGCCACGAATATATACTCATCATATTCAACAGCATCATAATCCATTACTCGTAAATCAGGCACATCTTGACTCGATTTCAATCGCGCCAATTCCCGCAACGTCGGTATTGCCGTTGTCGTGCTGTCTTTGCCTAACGAACACACTTTCCAAATGATAAATTCTTCATTGGCAGCTGAACTGAATGCATAGTCACAATTGAGGAATCCTACCGTTTGCATACCCGAAATATGATTCGTCATGTTCCAATAGTTGCGTACTGCACCATTGGGCAATATTTTCCCAAGGCAAATGGTTGAATCTTCAGCTGAGCTGATTATTAATCGCGATCCATCACTCAACAATTGACCATTTTGCACAGCAACGTCTCTAATTTCACGTCCATGAGTTCCACTATGTATCATACCAAAATTGGCTTCGCCTTGTCCACTATCTTCATTGTCAATAAACCGACCTTGGTAATGACACACATAAATGTCATTCTTGAACAGATAAATAAAACTAAAGCTTGATTCAGTCTTTCGATAAAACTTAAAATGTCGATGTCCATTACCGCCACAATACTCATTCATGATTTCAATTTGTTTAGTCTCGTTCCAAATGTAGAAATATGAAGATTTGAATCCATAGAGTATTAAATCTTCACCATTATGGAAAAACCCACCTTCAATAAACCCCCGAGTCAATTTATTTGCATGGGTTATATCAACGTGGAATAGCCCATCCTGGTGGGGTTGGGTAATGGATGCAATCAAGTACATTCCATCTCGAGCTAATATCAACAAGTCCAACTTTCCAATTTCTGAATTGAGTACCGATACTGAACTTACAGTATCGCCCATAGCAACTTTTTTCAACATCAAGTGTCGTGATAAATCATCAAGATCAACGAGGTATAATGATACTTTTTTCGAAGCGAGTATAATCCAGTTGTTCGTTATATCTATTGTCATTGCAGTTATGGGGAAATTCGCTTCTGGTTTTGGAATATTCCAAGTATAGGCAATTCTAGCGACACCATCATCAGTTGCCACATTGAGTTCATGCAACTTGAATGGGATTTTGACATTTGGTGACTCAATCAAGACAAAACTCTTTCCACCAGTTGAGCATGTTAACAAGTTGGTAATTTTCATCGACTCATCAACATTCACAATCAGAGATACCATAATGTCATCCTCATGATACTGAATAATTGTCAAGTTCCCACCCCGATCAGTAACCACCACAAAATTCGCATCATTAAACCCATCAACAATACCAAATCCCGTAAGTTTATCACTATGATAAAGCACTTTACAACTTTTCAATCCATAATCGTACTCAAGCACGTATCCATTCGAAGTCAAACATACCAATTTGTTCAAATTGGTCAACTCGAAATAATCGCGAATACAATCATGTTTTCCAAACGAAATTGACGAGGTCAAAGCTTGATCGAAATTGGCCATTGTTAATCTAGTTGTCACTTGATTTCGTGCTAGCAAATCGTGTACTCGCACTCTTCCATCAGCACCACCAGTACAGCAGATTTCCAAATTGGCAACATCTACATCGCCTGACCACACATGTTTACCGCGATGGCAATTCTCAATCACTTTAACTGGTTGTAAAAGGTCGGATGATGTATCGTACTGCCAAATACGTAATGTGCAATCTTCACCAATACTCATAATCTTCAAACCATTATCATCTGCGCTGTCGCTGCCACTGTTTGCGAACTCCAAATTCCATATTCTTGACCCGTGTCCCCATCCAGTTGCAACTACTTTTCCCTCATAAAGATCGTACAACTTGATACTACGATCATCAGAACATGATATGATATATTTGCCAGCATGGTCAATTTTGACGCCAAATATCGATCCTTCATGATCATTCAAACTATGGACTATGCATCGACGATGCAAGTCCCAAATAATGACCCCATTCATAACGGTGCCCGCAGCAATATAGATCTTGTTTGCATCCAATACATTGATTGAACCGCTGTACAAAATCGATTTTTCACCACAATGAATCTTTTCCACCAATTGGATCTCTTTCGTCTGCTCATGCTGCTGTTTCGACCCATCACGAATTAGGTACACCATGTTATACGAATTGAGCAAGAGAACAGTCCCATCGTCTAATACATCCGACGTGATGATCCATTCATTAATACCACGTTCTTTAAATTCACAGTCACCCAACTGTAACCCATGTAATGCGTCATCATCAAACGGTAAAACAGCAAATGATCGACCACCACTAAGTATAATTTTCGATGCCGCTTCGTTGACAGATATATGATGGATCTTGTTCCTCTTAAACACCTGTCGCAGGAAAATCAAGGAAATACTTTCTTTGTTATTGGTGGTGGCGGTGGTGCTTTTGGAGGAATCTACACGATAAATGTATAAAATTGGGCCGTACCCGACAAAGATAAATTGTTTATGTAATTTTATAAACGTCACTGGTCCATAATGAAACAATGGTGAAAGCAAAGCAGTGCTGTCTTTGCTATTGCTGTTCTGCTCGACGTTTGAACTTATTCCATGACTCCTCATTGCTGTTGGTTCACCATATTTCTTGCAACCACACACAACCAAACTCAATTTTTCACATCGCGCGATGGATGGCTCTGAAGCAGAGATATGACAAAAACGCTACCGATTCTACATATAGTTGCAGTAAACTGCTACAAACAGAATTGTCCTAAAAGTAAAAAGTCCATTATCACTCTTTCTAAATAATTTTATTATATATGAACTGGCGCCTGTTGTCCCCTCCCCATAAACGATTGTTTCTAATTATCTCTCGCCCTGTTTCGCAGCCTCCTGGTTCTCCTGCTGTTCTGCCTTCTTACTCTCCTCTTCATTCTTGACTGCTTTCTCCACAGCTTGCTCCACCTTCTTATTCTCCTCCACCAGCTTCATCTTCTCTTCTTCCATCTTTTTCTTCTCCTCCTCCAACTTCTTCAATACTTCCTCAGTCACACCCAACTTAGTTTGCTCTTCACCAAAAGTTTTACAAAACTCAATACTAGCATCCAAAACACACTTCATCAACTGTTCATTGTCACCTGTCATGGCCTTGTCGCCAACCTTGTCTTGTTGCTTTAGCAAGTTTCTCACAATATCTCGTAGTCCATAAATGTACAGTATACTGTTATTCTCATCAGCCACACTCAAAGTCAACCCAAGTACATCTTGCTTACTTATGGGATCATACTCCCAGGACGAAATTCCATTGGGGATCAAAACGCTAGGGTCTCTTGCTGCACATTGTACTTCATGTTTCCTCCACCCACTAACTGGGATATCAAATGAAATCGACGATGACAAATATTTCACTTGGAATTCGTTGCTTGTGTCCAGTTTGGTAAAAATATAAAGGTTGGGGCGATACATGGATCGTCCGCATCCACAATGCTTTATATGAGCACGAAGGAAGCCAATCCATACGTTTTTATCCTTGTATGTAGGGTCAATAGTTCCATAAGGGATCATTTCTGTTCCTCCTCTAATGGGCCCTACATTACCGCCCTTCTTCAGCTTCTTGGCCGTGTATACAAACTCACATTTACTGACATCTTCATCGTTATTAAACTGTTGCAACTCACATTTCAAAACCTCTAAATTATCCCATTGATAAATCAAATAAATGAACTTGTCACCAGATGCCTTGGGATCTCGATCTTTGGGGATTATAAACGGTGTCCAATTTTTTTCTACTCCCTTTCGTTTCTTTTTCGCAATCTTGAGTTCTTTAACTTGGGTGAATTTAACATTATCAAAACGTGAATCAGATATGCCATCAGTATTGACTTTACCCAATTGATACCTAAATGGCCATCCAATAAACATGGCTCGATGGAATTCGAAATTTATTTGCATTGATTTATCTTCATTCACAGCAGTATAATTGTAGATATTACGTTGATAAGCGTTGAATACAATAACTGGCTCTTCCTTTTGCATTTCATTTTCAATCAACATGATCCTAGTATCTTCTGGCCCATACCATCTTCTCTTGGTGTACTGATAATCAAAGTAGTAAGGAATTGGTAGGAAGCGAGGAAATTTCAAGTTTTGATGCACTCTAGTAACGCCATCAGTATCCATTACTGGCACAACTAATTCAACATTGGTTAGTTCTTGCCAGTTGACATCATAAACTTGAGCATAAAGTAATGAAATTTGTGGGTTCCATTTCAATCCTTTGCGCGAAAACAACACTCGTGAAACCATTAAATGGACTCCATATTCCTTTAACCATACTGAAGTTCCAGCAAATTTATAAAAATGTTTACCAATGGTGTTTTCCTTCAACATTGTGGGTATTTTGCCCTGGAAAAACCCAGCCAAATGCTTAAATGCGTCATCCAGTTTCAATTGCAGTTTGAGTACTTCAACCATACTTGTGAAATCGGCATCAAAGATGAGGTTGTCACTAATGGTTAAATCTAATGATTGCATCGATTGTGAACATTGTTTCGAATCGGAAAATGAGTTGAAAAGATGGATCTGATGGGGTTTGGTTGCATAACTGAGTTGTTGCTGAGTTAAGGCTGAGTTATTTCCCGAATAATTAATTACTTGTTTGTTGTCAGTAGGATGCACTTGTTTATAGGCTGCTTCATCTTGAAAATTTTGTGGGAAAACTAGCAATTGTTGTGAGATGTGGTTATGTAGATGAGCCTGTGGCAATGCGTTCTTGCCATTTGTTGCTGATTGAGGAGGTAATAATGGCTTTTTAGATGTGATAAACTTCAACAACGGAATACTAGTATCAGCATTGCGGAATAGCAAGTGTAATGGAAATATAGCAAGAAGGATAACCACAGTAATGGCTAAAATGCGACGCTGGGTCGATCTAAACCATCGTATTCCCAGCTTAGCCATGATGATAAAAAAGAAAAAAGAACAAAAACAAGGTACAAGTTGTGGTTAAGTTGTAGAGAGTTTATGGTGGTTCTGTTAAGGGGTGGTGGTTGCTGTAGTGGTTGTTATAATAAAGTATTTTTATTTTTAATGTTGTATTGAATGCTCGTCTTTCTGTTTATGTGCCTGTCTCTTTCTTTCTGTGTCGATCTTTTCTGATGCTTCCCTGTGAGATTTAAAAAAATAAAAATTGCTAAAAGACTCAAAAACTGTAATTTCTTTTTTTTTTTTTTTTCATGTTTTCTATTTCTATCTGTTTTTGACATCTATCTATTTGTCTATATACAGTACTTACATATTAAGTACGATCTAATATGTCGCATTAGATTATCCCACGACTCTTGCTACTCCCACATTCAAGGAAGCTCCCGCTTTGTTTACTGTTCTCTTAGTTGCCTAATTTTTTTTTGGGTTTGGTTTTGGCTGGGCTAGGTGTGATATAAAAACATACACGCACGTGGACGTATTGTGGGTGTCGTCACTTGCATCTCCCTTAGCTGTTATGTTGTTGCTAAATATTTTATATGCAGTATCTATATAAATAAATCCTTATTATTATTACTGTTGTTGTTGTTGTTGTTATTGTGGCGCATTGGTTCCTTTTAATTTTATTTCATTTCTTATTTTGTTTTAGTTCAACTATTATTATTTTAGCTTAGCTTTCTATTATTTCTATACATTAAAACTATTATTACTAAAGACGAATTGAATAAAAAGATATGCCATGTATCATTGAACCAATCCACAACCCTCTCAAGTCACTTTTTTTGGTTCTGGTTTATTTTCTGATTCACTCGTTCTATCCTTTTGATCTTCATTCGGATGCTCATCTTGTTGTGCTGGTTGTGCTTGTTGTGCTTCTTGTTGTTGTGGCGACTCATTCTTATTACTTGCTTCACCTGCCTCTTGTTGTTTATCAGCTTCCGGTTGTGCTTCTTGCTGCTTTGTTTCTGGTTGCGTTTCCTGTTTCTGCTGCTCTTGAGGTTGAGGTTGAGGTTGAGGTTGAGGTTGGGGTTGAGGTTGTGTATTTTGATGGTTTGAAGAGCCTTTTTCATTCACAGGTTGTTTCTGCTTCTCTACCGCTTCTTTTGCATCCTCTCCTTTTTGTTTCTCGTTTTCTGCTTTGGCCTTCGCTTCTTCCTCCTCCTTGGCTTTTTTCCTAGCTGCTTCACTAACACCCAATCTATCCTGTTCCAATCCATACACCTTACAAAACTCCATACTCTTATCAACAACACAAGAAATCAATGGACTCTTGACTGCAACTGACTCTGAAGCGCCCCAATTTAAACCAAGTTCATCAACCATTTTCTTGATCCCACTAACATGAACTAAATTATCATTTTTATCAGCAATCGATAATATCAAACTTAGGTAATCTTGTTTTGGTTCATACATCGAGATACCATTGGGTATCAAAACATTGGGGTCTCTCCTTCCACATTGTACTTGAGCATACTTCCATCCATCTACTGCCATGTTAAATGATATCGATGACGAAAGATGAGATAATTTAAATTGGCCATTCTTCTCTCCCAAAACAATGAAATTGGGTCTATACATTGCTTTCCCACATCCACATTTATCTATATGGGCCCGAAGGAAACCAATCCAAACTTGGTCTAAATTGGACTTGGTCTTTATAGGGATTAACTCTGTACCCCCTCTCACTGGTCCAACTTTACTTGCCTCGTTATTTTGTTTAAAATCAACTTGACATTTTGAATAGTCGCCAGCGTTGGCTAATTCACACCGCAAGATTTTCAAATTATCCCATTGGTAAACAATATACATATGTTCATCACCACCATTGACTACACTGCTTTTCCTTTCCAGCGGGTTAATAAATGGTGTCCAATTTTTTTCAACTTTTTGACGTTGTTGCCCTTCAATTCTCAATTCAACAACTTTGTTATACCTTGTCTTTGATGCTCGATTATCTTGTCCAGCATCGACATTTTGTTTCCCACGTTGGTATCTCCACAAATATCCCATAAACATCAGTCGGTAAAAAGCATATTTGGCCGGTTGCTTTTCTCCATTTGAATCTTCAACAGTTTCAAGCACTTGTCTATGGAAAGCATTGAATACAATAATAGGCTCTTCGTCCCCATACTCGTTCTTACTCAACAATAATCGAGTGTCTTCAGGACCGTACCATCTTTTCTTTGTCTTTTTCGAATTATGATAAAATGGAATTGACATGGCTCGAGGGAAATTAACACTTTCGTATTTACGTTCACCATCATCATCAATAATGGGTAAAACCAAATCGACATTGGTTAATTCGTGCCAGTTTTCATCGTAAATTTGAGCATAAAGCAAGGAAATTTGAGGATCAGCTTTTCTTGCCGTTTGAGTAAACAATAAACGTGAAACCATTAAATGAACTCCGTATTTTTTCAACCATACCGAAGTACCAGCAAATTTGTAAAAATGCTTTTCATTCAATTGATTAGTTTCGATATACTTGCTTAGTTTACCTTGGAAGAACCCAGCCAATTCTTTTAAGCTATCCTCATTGGTGATTTGCTTTAATATTGTTTGAGCAATTAATTTCCAATCATGTTTAAACTCTACACTTTTAGTAATGGAAACTTGTTTATCAAGCTGCAAGTTGGAACAACTTGTGTCCTTCTGTTGTTCTTGTTGCTCTTCAAACACAGATGCCACTGGCGTAGATGCAAATAAGCTAATAGGATGCAGTGTATACGTTTGATTTGTTATAATTAGACTCAATGCACTAGAACTACCATGGTATTGAACAATATCATTTTTGTTTTCAGTAATATTATGATCTATCCGTAAAGCTGTACTATAATCTGATGGTAGTATAGTGATTGGTTTGGTACTAAAGTGCGAAATGGGTAATTTAGGTCCTCTAAATTGAGAAGACCATTGTTTAACAGTGTCATAGGTGTTGAGGAAATGTAAAAGTATAAATGTGATTAAAATGAATGGGATGGCCAAGTATGTTTTCCTAATTTGTCTAGGCTTGGGAAATAACGGAAGGTATTTCTTGATCATGGTTGGTGTATGTGCTGGGGTGGAGAGGCAGTTGTAGTTGTTATTCTTATTCTTGTTCTTGTTCTCGTGGGTTTGGTGGTAGTGGTATTGGTGTAGATTGCTGTTGCCAAAATGAAAAAAGAAAAAATAAAAAAGGAACGTATTGTAAACTCTGTTGAGTATCAGCAGTTAAACCTAGTTGCAGTTGTGGTTGTGATATGTATGTATGTGAATTACTGTTAACCTCTGAAGGTATTGAAACTTGTTTTTAATGTGCTGTTGGTGGTCAAATCTTTCTTCTGTCTTTTGTTTGATGTTGATTTTTGGTTGTAAAAAATACAAAAAGAAATAAAAATGAAATGAAAAGAGTATGGTACTGCATATAATTAAAATGAATAAAATAAAAATACACAAAGTCTTTCTAAAATAAATCTAAGACAATTTATTTTTCTCTCACTGTATAATAATAATCCTTACGGTGGGGGGGGGAAGGGTATTACATTATCTACTACTACACCACCAATGTGTAACTGAGCAGTTGCTATAAATAAGATTATGATTATACTTCTGAAAGTGGCAAAAGGAGACAGCACTGCCACCAAAAGTAACAAACAATAGCAAAGAGAACTTTTAGAATAAGCCATTAGAAATTTTACATGCATATTGCCTAAAATGATTGATATCTATTTATAAATAAAATAATTTCTTCCAAGGGTGAAATAACTAACTAGCTATATTTGTTTACTACAACCAAGATAGAAGTATAGATAACTGCACGTGAACACTACCCCGTATACTTATCACTATTACTACTTGCTTTGTATTGCTGTTACTAAAATTGAGTTGGATTTTTAGTGTTAGGTGTGTCTATTTTTAGGTACAATTGCTCTTTTTTTTTGTGCGCGCGAAATTAGTTCAACACTATAAGCAGAAGAAGTAGTTTTAGACTGTGATTGGCTTTGTCTCTTTCCAAATGTCAAGAGGCTTAATTTGTTGGTAGAAAGACTCAGTATCTCTATTTATGTAGGTATCGTAAACATCAGTCAGAAATATGTTATGTATACCGAACTGTCTGTTGAGTCAATGCCAAGATAAATATTTACTCAAAATTGAGATTAAGCTCTGACCGTTGAAGTAATTTTTTAGTCTGTCTGTAGTCTTTTGCTTAGTCTTTTGCTTAGTCTTGCTTAGTTTTTAGTCCTGATGGCTTTATGCACGACCCCCTTTTTTTTGCTTTTATTTCTAGCACAGCCACAAATAGTTTTTTAACGTATCACGTGTATATCACGAGATACTTCAAGCCATTTGCAACCCTCATTTTATAAAGGATACATTTAATCTAAGAATATCAAAACTACACTTGCTTTGACAGCTGCTCTTGATGATTTCGCTTCTTTTACATTTTACACTACAATCACAAACACTGTAAACAAAACAAATCGAGACAATACACAGTGTATATAATTCTAAACAAATAATTCCCCCCCTTACAAGGCAACATTTCTACCCTTTTTAGCATCCAATATTTGTTGAACAGAATCAATAACCGATTTACCAAGATCAATAAACTGAAATCCTAAAATCTCCCTTGTTCTTGAATTATCAACAGTTGCCAATTTCTCCTTAATCACTTGGGCATCAGTACCTGGTTCACCCTTTGGAAGATCCAATTGGGGGAATTTAGCATTGATCAAATCAACAATTGATTGTTCAGTGAAGCTACCAGCAGTTAAAATCAATCTTTGACTTTTTGCTTTAGGATTTTCAAAAGCAACAATGTGGGCTTTGGCCACATCGCGTACATCTACCCATGTTCCTCTAAATGTTGGAAGTGAATCAGTTGGTTTCAACTTCAATATTGAATTAATAACTTCTGATGATGTGTTTAATTGATCTTTAATCTCCGATGTGTACAATTGAGGACCAAATGTGAAACCAGGGTTAACTGTGGACAATGCAAATTGAGAATCATGTTCCTTGATGAAATCCCATGCTGCTCGTTCAGCAAATGTCTTGGATCCTCTATATCCACTAACGGCATTTTGAACAGCTTCGTCCCATGTAATCTCATTCCAATCTTGTTCAGTAAATGTATAATTGGGATCAGCAGTCTTGCTAGCAGTTCCTACAGCAGCAAATGATGAAGTAATCACCACATTTTTAATGTTTTTACCATACTGCTGGATTGCCTTTAATGCATTCTTGGTTCCTTCCACTGCTGGGTCAAGTAATTCTTTGGCAATATCACTAGCTTTGAAATGAAATGGCGATGCCGTGTGTAAAAATACTGTGGCATCTTCATTCTTTTGCAATACTTGATCAAATGCACCTGGCTTACCGACATCCTCAACAATTTCAAAACTCAATGTTGATGGTGAATTAAACAATTGTAATAAATGCTCACCTTTGGCTTGGGATCTAACAGTGGTGACTACATTGTAGTTGTGGTTTAATAATTGTTTAAGAATATGCTGAGCAATGAACCCAGTTCCTCCTGATACAATAACTTTAGCTGTCATCTTTTCTTTCTCCTTCTGTTTCTTTTTTGGTGTGTTATATGGTTAATCCTTTTTGGAATTTAATTGTGTATTGTATAAATGATAAAATGTTGGGACATTCCAAGTCGCTTTATATATATTTGTATCACAGATTAATAAACTGTGGAATTATTCTCCCTCTCTCCTTTTGAATTCTTTTTTTCTTTTGTTTCTATTTTAGCGGCAAAATTTCCTAAAACGAAAAGAGGGTTCCGCCACAACCAACTCGACCCACAGTTTTTGTCTCTTTACACACATAAAACTGGGGAACTCTAGCGTGCCGCTCAAACGCAGCATAACTCCAGAAAAACACCTGTCTCATTATTACTATAAATATCTATATAATTCCGCCATTATTTTAACAAATCGCCTTTATTCACCACAAAAGCATCAATGACAGCCATGGCAGCATACAATCGATTCTCTGCCTCTTCAAAAACAACCGAGTTTTCACTATAAAACACATCGTCTGCAACTTCTTCTTGGTGTCTGGGCAAACAATGCATGAAGATCCAATTGGATGCTACTTGACTCAGTTTAATCAAATTGGCATCAATTTGATATCCGGCAAACTGTTTCAATTTGGCCAATTTCTGCAGCTCTTCACCCATCGATATCCAAGTGTCAGTGACTACGATATTAGCTTCCTTTAACGCTTGTGCCGGCTGATTGACAATTTCAAACTTGACCCCTTGTTGTGCTGCCAAGTGTTTAGCATCTTGTTCCACATCTTTATCAAATGAAATTGATTCCGGGATCGATATAGATACATGGATCCCCATTTTCAAACTGGCAATGGCTAAATCATTAATCACATTGTTTGCATCTCCAACCCATGCCAATTTCAACCCTCTAGTCTCCCCAAAAGTCTCCTTAATCGTCAACAAATCAGCAATGGCCTGTAACGGATGATATTTATCGCAAAGCGAATTTATAATAGGCACACTCGAATCTTTACACAAGCCAACAATGTCGCTATGTTTATTGACTCTAGCGAAAATACACGATGTCATGGAACTAATGACTTTTGTAGTATCATACATTGACTCATTGACTCCCAATTGAATATCATCTTTGCCCAAAAACATCGGTTGTGCCCCGAAAAATGCTGCAGCTCCTTCAGTGCTGATTCTTGTCCTCGTTGATCTTTTCGAGAATAGTAATGCCACTAATTTACCCAATAACTTGGTGTGATTTTCGGCAATGGAGGAAGCTTGGCCTGATTTGTACACTTGTTTCAAATGGTGAGCTTTGGCAATAAGTGATGAGAATTCATCGTTTGACAATTGTGAAATATTGACCAAGTGACGGGGTTGTTGCGACTTTAATGTAGTGCTTGTAGATAAGATTCTCTTTGTAGTTACTGCGGTTCTAACTGACATAGTTTTGCTTGCTTTGTTGATTGACACTCTGTAGTGGTTTAATGGTTAAAGGAAAAAATGGAGGAGGAGAAGGAGAAGAAGGGGAAGTGACCAATTTATAAAAAAATTTTCCATTCCGAATTTGGTAAATGAGTCAACGTTAAGCGCGCTAAAACATATACCAATATAAAATGTGGGTTGTGCGCGAGTACACGTCTTTTAGCCAACATACACGATCAAACGCACACACACACACACACAATAACTCAGTATAGATTATTCAACGTTGCATTGAGCAAAGCTCTATAAAAGGGAGGCAGAATATTTACGTATGATACAAAATAAGCCTAAAGCAATTCCTCCAAACCTACCAAACCAGCTCAATGCTTTCCCACTGAAGAATTTGCGTCTAAATTTCCCAATCCTCTAATTTCTTCACTAATGCTTCACGTTTCTGTTGAATCTCATCCTTGCGTTTCAAAACATTACCTCTTTTCACTTCTTTCTGCATTCGTTTAGCTCGTTGCAATTTCAACTCCTGTTCAATTCGGTCAATTTGTTCTTGGATCGTGTATACTTTCATTTTGGCCGGTTTTGGCTTCATCCTTTGATAATTATACCCAGTGTTATAGCCATAGCCGTTCCCATGACCAGATCCAAACCTTGGTCCATAACCGGACCCGTACCTATCATAATCATAGTCACCATCACTAACACCAGATCCATAATCACTAACAATCTCATCATTGTACTTATTTTCAAAATCAACATTATGCTTAAGCACTCCCATATCCTCATCATTCAATTCATAGTCGTGGTTACGTTCAGCTTCGTAATCTGGTTGTTGTTGTCGTAGCTCTTGATTCAACGATGAAGATGTCGCTGCACCATCATCATAATTCTTATCGTCGTTGTACTCAGATGCAATTTGGTTGAGATATTCTCGTTTGGATAAACTTGGCTCGGCATTGGATGCGATAGGAACATACGAGGGATTATTTGAAGCAAAGCGGTTGGAAGGTTGGCTTGTATCAATGTTGTCTGATTGACGGGATCCTGATGCTGATTCATCACTCGGTGATCTAGGTGAATCAACCTTGAAATCTCTCCGAAATGAAAACTCTCCTACGGCAGGAATAGCAAAGTCCAAGGTGTCAATGTTGGCAATTACGGGGTTATTCTCAGGGTCGTTGTCGAATTCAAGTAGATCTTCATTGAGGGGCTGGTCATTTGGTACTTCTTTTACGCTCTCTCCACCAGTTTGTTCTATAACTTCTTCATCATTCTTATGACTGACTTTGTATTTGGACAAGTTCAATCGTCGTTTTGATGATTCATTTGGGTCTCGTCGTTGGAAGGTCAAGGAAGGTTTGATGTTTAGTTGAACGTCTTCATTGTCGTTTGACTCCTCAGTTTCAGGTTTATTGTCAATTGGGGATACTCTTCTGCTTCGTGAGGACGATACATCAGGTATCACTTGTTTCCTTCTGAATTTGGGATCAAGTTTTATTACTCGATGTATGGTGGGAAAAGTTGGTTCTTCCTTTACCTCCGATTCAGCTCCATCGTCAATCAGACCTATTCCTGTCCGTCGGGATGATGATTGATTGGGTTGCACTGGTTTCTTTCTGAATATAGGCTTAAGCTTTATTTCTTGTGTTAGCTCGGGCAGGCGTAGTTCATCATTCACCTCAGCATCGACTACATTGTCAACCGGGGATATCTCTGTTCTTCGTGATAATGAAGCATCAGGTTCTAGTTGCGGTGATTTATATACACGCACAGTCTTTGGCTTTACCGATAGGTCTAGCGCGTCAATGTCATCCTCGTCCATATTCCTCGTTGATAATGAATACGACCTATCCGCAGCTCTTACAATCCAATCTGTGTTTGTGTTTTAAATCTGTAAGGTAAAAAAAAAATTTAGACAAAGGGAAGATGATCTCAGAAGAGGAACCCACATCTGGTTCTAAAATCGAAAGACTAACTCTTCTTATTCGCCTCCTCGCACGTTTCCTTAAACCATGACGGAAGTTTCAGATAATGCCAAGCTACTTCATACGAAAATGAGGGAATCACCCGCGACAAAGGCATTCACCCAACAAGAAGCATCGAGTTTAGTCAATGTCACAAAGGAATCCGATTTAATGTTATTGCTACAAGAGCTTCTCAATGCAAATTTAATCAAATTAAGTAAAACAGGTGATGAAATACGGTTCCAACCAGTCAGCATCGATGATGCTAAAAAGTTGGGCAGTATGACTGATGATGAGCGGATGATTTATTCTTATATTGAAGCTAGTCATCGTGAAGGTATATGGACCAAGACATTGAAAGCAAAGACTAATTTACATCAACATATCGTTTCCAAGTGTTTAAAGAACTTGGAACATGAGCGATATATCAAGTCGATCAAATCGGTTAAACATCCCACGAGAAAGATTTACATGTTGTATCATTTACAGCCGAGTATTGACGTTACTGGTGGCCCCTGGTTTACTGATTCAGAATTAGACACAGAGTTTATTGATACGATAGTGGAAGTTGTTTGGAGGTTTATTGTCAACAAGACATTCCCTCGATTGGACCAACAACAACAAGAAGGAGAACAACTGACATTGAACCCATTACAAGTATCGTATCTTGCTTCGTTCCAAGGAGTTGATCTAGACCAAATCTTGGAGTTTATAAATATTAGTGGTGTAAGTTCGGTAGAGTTGGAGTTGAACGATATACGATCATTATGTGATGTGTTGAAATATGATGATAAAGTCGAAGAAATCGATGGACATTCTGGTTTATTCAAAGCAACAAGACAAAGTTTGGTGGAGAAGGGATTAATGAAGAATTTAGAAGAGTTGAAAGGTCAACTTCCTGAACCGACTAGACAATATCTTGTCAAGAATAAAGAGTTTTCAATCTTCGATTTCAAGACCGAAGTCGAAGATTTTCAAGATGAGCAAGATTTTGTGAATCTAGATAGTTTTGCCAATGTATAGACTCAAATTGCTGATTTTATTTAATCTATCTCCCTCACATATATATATTCTCTCTCTCTCTCTATATATATATATATATTTAATCTCATTCTAAAAGATTCCATATTTTTGACACTTTTGGAAAATGTAAACAATGATACCATTTGGCTTAACTTCATCAACATGATTTTCATCAATTTGAGCCCCGAATCTTTGAGCATTAGAAGTGATTTTCCTTTGTGATCCGTTCAATGACATCAACTTTTCAAATCCCCAACTTAACAATTTTTGATTCCACGTTAGACCAATATTCAACTCACCATCTTCATTGTAATAAAAGTTTTTACTCTCATAGGTAACAAGTGGTTTCTGTTGTTGTTGTTGCTTTGTTTCAGCTTCATTTGAATTAACAACCTCAACATCAGTGTCACTATCGGAATCTTCATGTTTTTTATATTTGACCATCACATCAGGGTGATCAGATATGACTCCATATTCTACCAATTTTGCCAATCTGCCCACTTTGACAAGATACTCAAATTGGAATTTATTATTTATGGTCCATGAATAAAGTTTCAAGTTTTGAATTTGTAATAGGGGAACAAATTTAGTAAGAAATTCCGTTGACCAAGTGGCGATATATAGCAAAGATACACCCGTCAACTTAATCTTGATTCTGTCTTGCGGTGTCGTTTCATCCAAATAATAATTATAGTTGATATAATTTATTGAATCTCGCCAATTGACACTAATGTGGAAAATGTCAAATTGACTACAGCCAAATTCATTAACAATACCAAATTTATCCTGAAAAGACTCATTTTGGTTGAGGAATTTCAAGAATGACAAATCCCATAACCCAAATTGTATTCTATGATACCACCATGAAATATCATTATGCACTTTGAGTAAATCATTAATGAGGTATTTGGTAATTTTAGCAGGATTAAATTTCTTAATATCCAATTGTAACTTGTGTTCATTTGATCCAGTGGCATCAACATATTTTTTAAACCATTGTAATACATCAACAAATGATAATAAGGGATATCCGCCTTCTTTGGTTTTTAAATTTTTAAGAATGGGATCAAAAGGGGTCTTGGTGATTTTATAGTCTGTTTCATTGCCATCCTGATCAACAAATACACGTTTGGTTGATATGTCATGAGATATGACTATGACATTGTCTGAACTTAGCCATAAATCAGTTTCAATAACGGTGGCACCAGACTCAAAACATTTTCCAAACCCAAGTAATGTGTTTTCTGTGTACTGACTTTTGAATCCTCGGTGGCCAGCTATTACAGGTGATGTAGTAGTGGATGACGTCATGAAAGGAAGCACCAGTTGTGACGATGAAGATGAGCTAGACAACGGAGCAGCAGCAGAATCAGCTTTAGCTGGGGCTGGAGCAGTAGATGATGATGCCATTCTTTTAATGTAGGTTATAGATCTTGTTTTAGTGAAGGCTAGTTGTCATATACGTGAAAGAAATCTTCCCATGATACAAGTATCAAGTGTGAATAGTAGCAAAGGAGGTACATATATATATATATGTGTGTGTGTGTGTGTTAGTGTGGTTTGAAAAAACGGAGATGTCAATTTTGTGTGGAGACTGCTTTGTGTGTATAAATATACTGCATATAATACTGACACATGGAATATTGTCGAATGCGAAAGCGAAAGCGGAGAGCACGTGTGCACTCCCTTACACACACATACTTCTCACTACCTTTGTTTAAAATGCCACAGTGTGTTTAACAAGGTACACTGTTATTTAGTTGAATACATATGCGCGGTATACTAAGCCACTTTTGTCCTAGTCAACCAGTCAATACTAACTAAGACCCTGCTCTTAACACCGAATATAACCGAACCGAATATACGGCAATAGAGAAACGTATTACACGTCATTGTGTCTCATCCGAAAATTATACCGACAGTGCAAGAACCCAAAAATAGAATAAGAAAACAAAAAGAAAGGGTCTAGATTCAATGTATACGAGTGATTCAGGGGTCAAAGGAAAGGAAAGGGGGCACGATGAGGAAGATCTAGTAAAGTGGTGAATACAGATGTTGAAGAGGTCTGTAGTGAGATTGTCAGCCACGGATTAACATACACACATTATATATTGCATCACCAAATGTAGGTGTGGGTGCAAAATTAATTTTCGTCAGTGCTATAGTCTGCTGTATCTCTATTGTTTGATCTGTGTGTGTGTGTATTCTTAGTAACAAACTCTAGCATCACTGCTTAGGTGTCCCTTGTAAATATATTGACCTAACACCGGTGTATGCGGAAATAGGTGAAAACCCACCAACGCTCTAGTCAACAAATCAAATAAATCGTTAAATAAATAATTGAATAAATAGTTAAATAAATAGGTACAACTCTATATCACCTAAATGACACAGTTCGTATGTGAAATTCTACTTACACACAATGTCTATAACCACTATAACTTATAGTCCTTATTCTTTTGTTCTTCTTCTTCATCAACACACATTTTAATTAAATTATAAGCAATAGACTGGCCCATGGGAATCATAATGCCCTCGGGATTGAATGCCTTGTCAGCTTCTTCACTCACTTGTTCAGGGTATACCAATTTCCTAACAAACGAAGTATCAAACCATCTGGCATCTAACAACTCATTGTCGTGACCAAGATGGATCAATTCATTGGTGCCATTGAACTCAACTACCCCAATACACCCAATCATCAAGTTTGATGGGAATGGCCATGGTTGTGTCATTACTACATTGACTTCGTCGCATGTTACACCAGTTTCTTCCCAAATCTCTCGCTTGGTGGCTATTTCCACCGTTTCACTTGGCTCCATGAATCCAGCGGTGCATGAATACATTTTCGAGCTAAAATGTCTCTTTCCCAAGGAGAGCAAGATTTTCGATCGATCAGTGTTGGTAATTATTGATATCACCGCCATATCTGTTCTCGGGAATGATACATTTGATACTGGTGCACTCTTGACGGGACATACAGATTTAAAGCTAGCTGCGTCATCACTGTTACTACTACTGTTACTACTACTACTAGTAGTAATTGTTTCATCGTTAGTGCAATATAGTTTCCCTCCAGCATGGATGGGAATTGTTGGATGACCGCACCCAGGACAAAACTTATTAGTAGTCAACCAATGGAAAAACATTGCTCCTTGACTAAACAAACTAGCTTCCTTTGGTTCAAAACTCAAGAAATGTTTTCTTGAATGAGTGAAAAACACCCCATTTTCTTCAGGGGATTTATCACCACTATGTTGCTTGGCATTGATTGTATCATTGACAAAATGAACCAAATTACGACACAATTCCTTATTTGAAGATACATCAACGGCATAATAAGCAATACCTTGGTACCTTCCCTGATGATCCAAATATTTTTCATCTCCATTCAACTCACAATCAACTTTCAATGAGTTGATATCCAACCCTACTGATTCATCAAGTAATCCCATAAACAAAAATGTCGGCTTACCGTCACTTCGCAACTCTTTATTCATATTCTTATTATCTTCATTCCAAGTATGCAAGATCTCATTCCAATGAGGTATATGAGTCATTAACCCACCAGGGATAAATTGTAAATTACCAGTATATCCAAGGTTATTCGGTTGCTGCCCCGGTTCAATTTGGTCAACACAAATTTGATTATCGCCATTAGTCATGATTGTCAACATATTGGCAAAGTTTTTATGCACCAATGGATTTTGTTTATTGAAAAAGATAAATCTAGTTGAGGGGTGGAATAACGATTTGGAAATGAACTCGGTGTCTTCTCTAAGAAACGAAACCCGGTTGAGCACTTCATTGCCATAATACATATCCTTTTGTAAATCCTTAATGGTGGTGTGTAATGATTGCGACATGATGCGAAAGGGGGCTCTTACCATTCAACTAAGCAAATAAATAAAAAAAGGACTAAGTGGTAGTTATGGTTGTGGTTGTGGTTGTGTTATTTGTTGTTGGATATAGAGTATGTTCTCTCTCTCTTTCTCTCTCTCTCTCTCTACCAAACTCTAGTATCCCGTTGAAAGTCTCAATCTTGTATCGTAGACGGCGGTACGTTTATCAACGGTTTTTTCTCTCTTTCTTATCAATCCAATTGAATTGTTCAACGTGCGCTACCAAACACAGAGAACTAGAGAAGAAAAAAAGAAATTTAAACAAATTGCAAAAACAAAAATGAAAATTCTTTTATTTCCGCACTAACAAACCCCACCCCACACAAGCGATATCAGAAGAATGGTACATGTATTAAAGAGATGTGTATCTATATGTATCATTCCTCTCCTAAAAACAATAGAGCCAAATATGTATCAAACTAATTCCAATACTTGAAAGGAATGGAAAAACTTTCCTTCAAATATAAAGTGTATATAGTTGATGATTTTGATTTTCCTGGGGCGTATAAATATCAATACACTGATAAACGTAAAGTATTAAATTAATTCCCAGGGTGTGGTTTGTTTGTGTCTGCTCATATATACATATGAATCGGCTCATTATTATTTGTTTTCCAGATACTACTACATTAACTGTTTCAATTTGTTTTGCAAAATTACCCTTTTTGATTAAATATAAAACCTGTTAAAGATAATGTTAGTATTCCTTTTTGTTTTTGCAACAGCTCTGTTTCTCTTCTTCTTTCTTTTATTGATCAGATAAGTAAAGTAGACTTTTCCCCATGATTTATAATGTAGGAAGTCAAGCGTTCGTAATTTGGTCTGTTTGGTGTTTCATCATTCAAAAAAAACAGAAAGTAAAAAATGAAAAGTAGCAATGCTGAAAAGGGACATCACACACACATACCTATTGAAAATCCTATTTTGAAGTAAAAATAAAATAACATAAAGGAGAATAGAAAACTAAACTCATAATCTCTCTAAAGCTCTGCTGTTAGTAATGCCACTCCACAGTTTGTTTTGATTTTGGTATATTCAATCAGCTATCTTCGACACGTCTTCCGCATAATTTACTCAGAAGTCTAACGTCTGAAAAAATGTCTAATAATCATCACTTGAATAAATGATATATTAAATACATACCCTCTCCCACAATGAACTCCCTTCAACCAATCTTGACACCTCTAATTATGGCATTTCCCAACCCTTTTACCCAGGATTTCTTCGACTTCTTATCAGCAATAATAAACACTCGACCCAGTTGATTCATCCTCCCTGTTCTTCCTAGTCTATGTACAAGATCAACTGAGCTACGAGGTAATCCCATCAATATGACATTCTTGATGCCAATGAAATTCAATCCTCGAGCTAATAAATCGGTCGTCACCAATATCTTCACTTTGCTACCGTCAACATCTTGCTTAATCAATTGTGCTGGGGCCAAAAATGGTTCAAGAAATTCCTTGCGGTCTTGCACTTTAACTTTACCTGATATGCCAAAAATGTCTTGTTGTCGAATTCCATATTTGGAAATCATCAAATCAACTAATCCTTCAACTTCGGATTTCTCATTGACAAAAACAATTATACGCTTCACATGATCAGGCTCAGTACCGTCCCTTGATACGGCATAGATTGCCTGAGCTAAACACCTGGGTTTTGATCCGTTATACGGTGGCAAGTCAGCATCTAACGTCATAACTTTGATATTTCTTGGCACTTTATGCAATGAAGGCGTAGACACCCGTATCATCGACTTTTCATCAGGGAAATATCTCGCCAAAGTCCTCTCAAACTCTTTTGGTATAGTAGCTGAAACTAAAATCAAATCAAGCAACTGGGGAAAGCTCTTCACCACGGCAGTGGTATCTTTTAAAAACGACGGATCAAACAACGTATCAGCTTCATCCAATACACAGTACCTTACACTTTTGAAAATCTTGAATGGACGATCAATGGCTTCCAATTTGGAAAACCCCGTTACTTTAGCTGGTGTGGTCACAAGGACATCAACTTTGCCAAAATTACGCAATTGCTTATAAAGTGAAATTGGCGGATCGCCATGCGACAACTTCATAATAGATAATCCCAAAGTCGAGTTTTCTGGTAAATCGAGAAACGCCTTATATTGGCGTGGTACATTCTCATGGTCCAAGGTGTATTTATTAGCTCGGTTTAAAACGTCATAAACCTGTTCAACTAACTCATGCGTTGGTACTAATATAATTGACCTAACTTGTTCTGACTTCTTAAACAACTCATACTTTTTTTGATTATCGTTAAACCAATTGAAATCGTCCTCCTTTAGTTTAGACAAGAGAGGACTTAAATAACTCCACGTCTTTCCCGAGCCAGTTTCAGCAGCAACAGTGAAGATCTTTGTCTTTTTCAATTCATTCTCGTGTTTCAACTCATAAAATATACGTTCACCTTCATCCATTGCCTCCAAGTCTCGATTAGATTTCCGCGTTTGGTTGATTTTACGAATAGCGGAAATTTGTACCGGCGTAGGCTTGATTTTGATTTCATCGAGCGAACTATACTGAGGACCTTTGAGATTGTATTGGGATTTGATTTCCTTAATCATTGCTTGTCGTACTGATGGGAAGATTTTCAATTGATCAAAGGTGTCAATTTTCGATTCAGCTGTATCAATCAGCGTTTTTAAATCGTTATGCAATTGCGAAAACTTACCCAGTTCAAAAACAAGTCCCCTTTTGGATTTGGACACCACGTCTACCGCCTCCTCCTTGGCTTGCTTTCGTATCTTTTGTTTAGTTTTGAGCAGTTGTTTTTGCGATGGGCCAACTTTCGACGAGTATCTCGACAAACACCGCAATTGAAGATGGGTTGAGCCATTTATGGTGTTAAGAGATAGTAAGCCATGTCGTATCAACCTCCTAAACATAATATAAGGTCCAAATAGCCAAACCTGAACAAAGAAGAAGAAGAAGAAGAAGAAGAAGAAGGAGTCAAGCAAAAAAAAAAAGTGTAGTGAAATTTTTTGTTTTTCGGTTTCTTTGTTTTTCGTCTTCGTCTTCGTCTTCTTTTCTTTCTCTCTATTTCTCGCTCTCTCTCTCTCTCTCTGTGTGTGTGTGTGTTAATGTTTGTTGCAGAAAAGTTATAGAGAGCAAAAGAAAAAGAAGAAGAAAATTTTTTTTCAAAGGGAAGAAAACGAAAAGAAACGGCAGCAAAGCACAACAGAGGGAAAATAGGGGGTAGTGTACCATTACCCAGAAATAACCAAAATCAAAAAATTTTCCAAATCTGTGTAGTGCCAACACCCAAGCAAGCATTTGGTTCGTTGAACACAGAGAGATTGTCTATCGTCTACAATTGGAAACGATGTTGAGGCTATCTGCTAATTTGTCCAAGGTGAGGCTAACTCATCAAGTTCCTCTAATATCGACGCATAATTTCTCCACCACTCCGTTTCTCCTAGCATCACCAAGACAAAAGGAGGGTAAATCAAAACAGATTTTAAAGAGAAAAGTGGTTGAAAAGGACAAGGTTAAAAAATCTACAGGTTTGACTCATTATCCATTCAAAGATGCGGTGCAGCATTTGAACTTGGAGAAGTTGGCGCCTCCAATGGATTACGTTGAACCATTAACCAAAGACTCCTTAACCACATCAACAATAACCGTGTATCCAACCGACATTGAGGAGAAATTGCGTACTTTCCAAGCGTTCAAGAAGTTCCAACACCATGAAATGTTTAGAAACCCTGTGTCGTTGACCACCTCAAACACCGTCAACATTTATGACAATTTTGTTAAAAAATTAACCAATGAGTCGAAAACCAATCGTAAATATATTGATGGGATAAAGGGAAGTGGGAAATCCACCTTGGTCAACCAAGCCTTGGCGTTAGCTCTTCAAGAGTTTCAAGATGAGGTTGTTATTTTGCACTTACATTCAGCTGATATACTAGGAAATGGATCATCAGATTATTTCAAAAATAACAAACTAGGCTTGTACCAACAACCAATGGTGACCAAGAGATGGTTGCGTAAGATATTGGCAGTTAACAAAGACATTTTCCAAAAATTGAAATTGACTCAGGATGTCAAGTTTTATCAAGATAAACAAGAAATCAGTTTAAAAGCTGGTGAAAATACTTTGTATGATTACCTTTCTCAAAATAGAGAAATCAATAAAGTGCAACCAACAATGTCATTCCAGTTTTTCATTGACCAATTGAAACAGCATTCTAAAACTGTTCCCATCATTTTATCAATTGATAATTTTAATGCCATGGCTGATTTTTCAATTACTCAATATCGTTCGCCAGATTTCAAACCTGTACATATAAGTGAATTTGAATTGGGTGATTTCATATTGCGAGCAGCTAGTGGTGAATTGAGCTTTGATAAAGGTGGTGTATTATTGGCCAAATCTTGTGATTTTGCACCAGCTAGAAAGACAACCCATGTGGCAGTATATCCAAATGAAGAATACGATCCGTTTATGAAGTACCCCAACTTGGACATGTCTGTAACGCAGAGATTGGTGGCTAATGGGGGCATAGAACCAGTTAAAGTTGCCCCCTTGACTAAAGAGGAAGTGAGAGCATTATTGTCATTTTGGAGAGATCAACAAGTGTTGATAACAAGACAAGATTTCCATAAACAAGAATTTAACGATGAACAAGCTGACATTGTTGACGAGGAGTTTGATCCTGAAGCTCAATTTGAAAAATTGGTCCAATCGAGTTTTGTTGTTTCACAAGGTAACCCTTATGGAATTTTAAAACAAAATTTAATTAGCTATTAGTGTGCAATGTAAATAGAGTAAAAAGAGAAGCACTGATCTTTTACAATTAAGAATCCTGGATGTCACAATCTTTATTTCTCTTCTTTTATTCCTCCAACCTATGTAAACAATGTATCTTCCTCTCTCAAATACTCCCCAATGTCACCTTGTCTAAAGGCAATGATACCAGTTGGAGCCACATTCCTCGCCTCATGCGTCAGTTTGGCACTAACACCGAATCCCAACGCAATATCACTCATACTATACACAATGACCCCAGCATGTTCCGGTATATCCTCACTCATACGACCAATATGAGCTTTCAACACATGGTTCCCATACAAGAATGGCATTTCACCATTTTGTTTAATCCAGACTTTATATTTGGCATATTGCGATAAATAAGGTAAAGCAGTAATATGTAATTTAAATTTCCCCGTCTTGGTGAATTTACCAAAACAAGTACCTAATGACATTAGATTTTGACGAGAAACACTAGTGGCGAAATTGGCAACTTGTTCCAGTACGTAATATACTCGATCTTTTTGTAATCGAAATACATGTGGGTTTTCTGGGTTGTCTATAAGAGCTGCTATGTTACGACCGATGTAGTTGGCTAGTTTCTCAAATACAACCTTTGTTTCTTCTTCTGTTAATGGTCTCATTGTGGTGGGTGGGAGCTATTGGTAAAGGGAACTTCAAGTGAAGGGATGATTTATGCGTACTCATCGTGAACTTACTATTTTTTTTTCTTATTTTTTATTTTTTTTTTTCGATGCCATCCCGCGTTAGCAGAAGAAGAAGAAATTCAAAAAAAACACTTTCAACAGTAGTCAAGACCATTTACAAATTTCGACAACATCACCCAGCTGTGCACCCCCTCTTTTTATATAAATGAGAAAATGGATACTTCTGAAAATACCCACATTGAGCAACCTGTTGAACAAGCACAACAACAACAACAACAACAACAACCTGAGCAAGTTCCTCAGGTGGACTCTCCAGCTGATTCTCCAGCAAGGTCAGCACAAGCCAGTGGCAGGTTACAAAATGCCAAAGAAAGGCAAAACAGACAGAAATATGAGCAATCGTAGGTAAGTCCCCGACGCCCCTCCTTTCCACTATCTTTTTGAACCCATTTTTTTATGTTTTACTAACTTATGCACCCTTTGTTTTTTAGTGAATATGTTCCCATGTTAGATGACCAAGGCAACCCCATACCCAAATCAGAACGGAAACCGAAACGTAAATGTGCCGTCATGATAGGGTACTGCGGAACCGGTTACAACGGGCTCCAAATCCAGAATGAGCCTGGTGTCAAGACGATTGAAAAGGATTTATACGAGGCATTCTATAAAGCTGGGGCAATTACATTGGAAAATTCGCTTGATTTGAAGAAATCGGGGTTCCAAAGAACAGCAAGGACAGACAAGGGAGTTCACGCTGCTGGTAATGTCGTGTCTTTGAAGTTGATTATTGAGGATCCCGATTTGAAGCAAAAGATTAACGACAATTTACCCGATCAAATTAGATGTTGGGGCATCCAACGGACTACAAAGGGGTTTGATTGTCGCAAAATGTGCTCGTCGAGAGTTTATGAGTACTTGTTGCCGACTTATTCGTTGATTAGTCCCAAACCGGGTACGCAATTGGATGGATTGATCAAGGACAACAAGGCGAAATATCCGAACTTGTTTGTTGATGATGGTGGTGAGGGTGCTAATTTTTGGCAGTTGATGAAGGATAAGGTTAGTGAAGCAGGTATTACTCAAGAACAGTTGGATGCCATTGCTCAAATGAATGAACAAGAAGGTAAATCTAACAGTACACCTGCAGCTGAAGCCAAGGAAGAGCTTGCGACTGTTGATGAGGCTGCTACAACTACCGTGGATGAAGAAGTGAGTGGTTCACAAGAACAGACGCCACTTTTCCGCATTGCTAAACAAGTGAAGCAAATTGAAAATGCTACACGTCGTGCCTATCGAATCTCTCCTGCTCGTCTTGATCGGTTTAGATCAACCATGCAACAATACAAGGGCACTCACAATTTCCACAACTTTACCATTGGCAAATCATTCAAAGACACCTCATCAAAGCGATACATTATCGACACCTCGGTGCTGGACCCCTTCGTCATCAACAACACCGAGTGGGTCTCGATCAAGATCCACGGCCAATCATTCATGTTGCACCAAATCCGGAAAATGATCTGCATGGCCTCGTTAGTCATTCGTTGTGATTTGCCAGTGGGGTTAATTGACGATGCATTCCAGTCGACCAAAATCAATATTCCTAAAGCTCCGGCATTGGGATTATTGTTGGAAAATCCCGTTTTCGATGCTTATAATTACAAGTTGCGTGATCATTCCTATGATGCGATAAATTTTGATTTGTTTAAACAAGAAATGGCTGATTTTAAAATGAAGTTTATTTATGACAAGATTTATGATGAAGAAGTTAAAGAAAATGTTTATTATGGGTTTTTTGGATATATTGATAGCTATCGAGTTCCTGGTGCTGATAATGATGTTGATGAAGAAAATGGTGTCAAGAGTAGCAGTGGCGGAGGTGGCAAAGGGTCTTCTTCTTCTTCTTCTGTTACCATATTTGATTTCTTGCATAATTATATTGATAAAGCAGCTAAAGCTGAAGCAAATGAAGAAGGTCAAAATTAAGCCAAATAAAATAGTGACTATAGAAAATATATATGTATGTATTATATTTTTCACTAAACAAAGCATAGTATGTATATTTGTACGAATGTCTATAAATCAGAAGGTAAATATATTCTTCTTCTTTCCCTTCCTCTTCCTCCTCCTCTTCCTCCTCCTCTTCCTCTTAGAAAAGGATTATACAATATTAACAGAATTATAATATTAGGAATACAAGACAAATAGAGCATCGTGAGTTTATGATAGGCCCAATGACAACAATGGCAAACTTGACCATACAAAAAGTCACTGGTAGTAAAGAAGAAAAACACCACCTACATATCCCTTCTCCTCTTTCTAACCTATCCTCACATTGAAATGCACACCCAAATATATGCAGCAATCCCACCATCTTCATCTTCCCCACCTCCGCAACCTTCTCCTTTACTCAAAAAAAGTAAAAGTAATAGGGCAATTTTCCAAAATGGAATTCTGTGCCAATTTGGATCTCAATACACCGAATATAGCTAAAACAAAAAACAGCATTAGTCAAAGTACACCTCCCACAAGAGAAACACTCGTGACGTCGACAATCCCTTAGAATATGTGCCTTTTTGTTCTAGCACTGTTCTTCGAATCTTCGAAGGTGCCCAAAACTACCCTAATCTTAATGAGAAAACAACAAATCCTGGCTTCCCTTCACCCCCATATAGATAGCCAATCATCAATAGAGCCCCTGTATTATACCCCTCCTGAATCAAAGCCAAGCTGGATTACCAGTATTAGCTTGTTGCTGTGGTGGTGGTACTTTTTGTTTTTCCTGATAATTAGCATGATAGCTTTGATTTGGTGTGTACATTGCCTTTTGGTTTTGGTAGCGAGTGTCAGCCATATGTTGTGTAGTTTTCTGTTGCTGCTGTTGTTGAGAGTCCTGTTGGTCATGTGCATCTTGTTGTTGTTGTTGTTGTTGTTGGTTCTGTTGTTGCTGCTGTGGTGGTGCTGGCTGCGATTGTTGTTGTTGCCCTTGTTGATCATTATTCTCTTGATTATCTCCATCAGTTACTTTCCCTTGAGCTCTTTGTTTTTCTAATTGGAACTTGTACAATGTCCAATCAAAAACATAGTCATACCTATAGTTTTCCTTCTTGAACAAATCTCTAAACAATTTCCTCAAATAAGCGTAGTCGGGTTTATCATCAAATCTCAAAGTCTTGATGTAATTCATATAATCCAAAAACTCACTAGGCAATCCTTTACACAAGATATTATTAGGCGTCGTCATCTTCTTTTCCATAATACGATCATACTTTTGTCTCTTTGTAGCTGCTTTTAAACCTTGCCAAGGTAATGAGCCACGACAAAAATAAATCAAGACATACCCCAAACTTTCCAAATCATCCCTTCTACTTTGTTCAATACCTAAATGAGTATTGACACTGGCATATCTTGCAGTACCAGTTAAGTTCTTATTTTCACGATAAGGTATATGCAAATGAGTTCTTGGATCACGATACTTTTTAGCCAATCCAAAATCAATAACATTAACTTGTGAGCCTCTTCTTCCAATGCCCATCAAGAAATTATCAGGTTTAATATCACGATGAATAAAACATCTGGCGTGTATATATTCAATACGACAGATTAATTGATCAGCCAAAAGCAAAACAGTCTTGTAAGTGAATTTCCGATTACAATAATTGAACAAGTCTTCCAAAGAAGGGCCCAATAAGTCGATAACCATGGCATTGTAATCACATTCAGTACCGTACCATCTAACAAAAGGTATACCAACACCTCCACTCAATGCTTTATACACCTTGGCTTCATATTCCAATTGTGGGTGTTTTGCTTTAGTGTTTTCCAACTTGATGGCAACTTCTTCGCCAGATATGATGTTGGTTCCAAGATAAATATCACCAAAGGATCCCGATCCTATTTTACGGCCAATGCGATATTTTTTGCCCACTCTTAAATCCATGATTGATGATGTGTGTGTTGTATGTACTGTGTGTGATCTATTGTATAATGTGTGTATATACTATGTGTAAGTCTATATGGTGTTGATGAGTTAGTTGTTTGGTTGATTGGTTGGTTGTGAAAGTTTTGTATTACGATAAGGGCGGTTGTGTTAGTGTGTGTGTGTTAGTGTGTGTTTGATTTTATGAAACGATGATGATTGACAACGCAAGAAAATTAAAATTATTATTAATAATTTTAATTTATTAAAAAAGAAAAACTGTTGTTAGTTGTTTATACGTTCTTCACTTTGTTTATATCAACAGGGTAGTTGATAGATGTATGTGTGTGGTGTGTAAAGGTTTGGTGATGATGATGATGATGATGTGTTGAATAAACAAGTTTGTTTTTGGTTGTCACTGTCACAATCTTTTGTGAGAGGTGTGTAGTTGTTTCCAAAAATTTTTTGCTTTTTTTTTCTTTTTGCTTTTCTACACACATATACATACACACATACACACACGCACAAATGATACTTATACCGATGGATAAAGTTCTATATTTATTTAATTATGTCATTACCTTTTGCATGTCCAATTGGTTCAAAGAATACATAATTAAAAGAAAGAGCTTTACTTAACATCTCACTATTGAAATAGTAGCAATAGTATATATTACTCTTGTGACTATGCTCGCTTCTATCCCTCACCTCAAACGCATCACAAATCAAAATTTTATAAATTTCTTTTTTCTTTTTTTTTTATTTTTTATTTTTTATTTTTCTCTTTTAGTATCCGCCTTTTAACAATATATCACGTGTACGGATTTACAACAGCGAAATCAAATTTTAGGATATTTACATGAGCTTAAACACGCCAATTTTTGGTATTCAAACAGCAGTATTGTAAGACACTATTATTTATTAAATATTATTTGAAAAAAAAAGGGGGAAAAGGGTTACAACACAAGACAAAAAAGAGGTAAAGATAAACACTAATAAAAGGATAACCCTTGACATGTGTATATCATAAAGCACCATGTAGTATAAAAAACTAGAAAACAGAAGAACACCCAGAACTAGAAATCGCAGTATAGAAAAACATTGGTTGTTATGTATAGTAGCACATCATATTTGCTTTCGTTCACTACCCATTAGAAAACTAAAAGATGGTGGTGGTGATGGTGGTGGTGAGAAAGGATGGTGGAATGGAACTACCTAGTTTGCAATAACTGGTTTTCTAAATTTAGCATACAACTTCTTGAAAAAATCAGTCTTTTTCGTTTGTTGAGTTGATGTTGATTTATTTTCAACTCCTTCAGTGACTGGTGGTGCAGCAACTGCTGCTGCTGAAGATTCTTCAGCTTCAGCAATCTTATCATCTGCTGGGCTAATCTCTTCGGTTGTACCTGCAGATTCAGCAGCAGCATTATTAGTAGTTGGTTCAGCAGTGGCTGTAGCTGCCTTAGTAGAAGCTTCTATGGAGGTTGCTGTGTCTTCCAACTCAATTGGTGTTCCTTCTGTAATCTCAACAGGGGCTGTAGTAACTGGAGCAGCACCAGCAGCAGAACCAGGTGTTGTTGATTCGGCATCCTTCTTGGCATTAGTGGTTTCTTCAGCTGGTTGAGTCACTTGTGCAACTTCAGGAGCATCTTCAGCTACTGGTAATTTGGTAGCATTAGCTTCACCCTCAGTTGATTTATCAACTGGTTCAATTACACCTTCTCTGTCAGCTGTAACTTCAGCTTGTGGTTCAGCAGCATCAACATCATCAGTAGTGGTGATAGGAACTTCCTGTCCCTCTTTTTGTTCTCCAGCAGCAGCAGCAGCAACGGCAGTACCAGTAGTAGTATCAGTCTTGTGAGCTTTAGCCTCTTTTGAATCAGGATTAAACACTCTTGAAATTCTCTTTACTCTATCTTTAATGGCCATTGTTTACTGTTTAGTTAAGATTCTATCGTTTCTAAAATGCGTGTTAAGTCGTTAGCAGTTGAGTAGCTTGAAAGGGTTTGACAGTTGTGTGTGTGGATACTTTGATGAAAATACACAGTTAAGGCAGGAGAAAAAAAAAAAAGAGGGAAAAAGAGGGAAGAAGAAGAAGATTATTTGAGAGATTTAAGGAAATGTGTGGATTAAAACCCACATTGTATCTAAGTATCTACCTGTGTATATCCATCTTTATTGAATGTGTGTGTTAATAAATTTAGACGCTTATAAAATAAAAATAAAAAATACTATTAAGGAAACTAAAGATTATTTTTTCTTTTCTGTTGAAAGCGTGTAAATAGTACACAATAATAATAATAATAGACATTAACAATAATGTGATATTATACATTACTATGTAATTTGGGTTTTTGTGTACGTAGTTAGTTTGTTTGTATTGTATGTGTAGTTTGTGTGTATTGCGTATGTGGTGAAAGGAGAGTTTTAAAGTCACACACTTTTAAATATTTTTTATATTTATATTTTTTATAAACCAAAACAAGGCACTGCATCTATAAAAGATGATAATAAGCTTAAAACATTTTACTTCCGTGAGGAAATTCCGCTTATTACCCATCTAAAGTTTATATACCACCGTCATTCCCTTGTGTGTGCATCTATATGTTTGTGTATGTGTTTCTTTTACACGCCTTGCTTCTGCTTTTGTAACAGAAATTCTACATACGGTGTTTTCCTTTTTTTATGTGAGTCTGTGTACGCTTTAATTACAGCCTTATTCTTCTAACCCTTTGATCAGTCAAACCAGAAAAAGACCGGAAATAAACGCCAAAAGCATTAAACACAACAAAAGTAGAAAATAGGTTTTACGGCGTCTAACTTTGTTGTACCCCTTCTATTTTACCCAATTTGGATGTTCCGTGTGACATCTAGTTCACGAAAGGTTATGTATAACCCATTGCCACAGCCGGGATCTAAAATGAATTATCTGGTCATGCAAAACTTTGCTTATTTAGAAAAAGAAAGATACAGAGAAAGCCAAACATCAAGGGACACGTCAATGTAATTTTACTTTTATTATTTTCATTCTATTGGATGTATAGCATAATGGTTCAATCCGAATACATTGTTCCTCCTGTTTTTGTTGTTGTTGTGTTCTTTTTGTTGCCAATTTTTTTGTTGTTGATAGTTGTGTGTTTGTCTGTTTTGTTGCGTGTTCCTTTCTAAACGGCTGACCTCTGTTGTTGTCTGTCTCTTTTGTCTTTTGACGACGAGCAGAGGGAGAGTTCTTCTTCTTCTTCTTGTGTAACTTAAATAACAATAATACTCTTATACCACACAAAACCCTAAACGTAACCAAAAAAAAAAGACAATATAAACACAAATACACCTACTGTAATATTAGAAGTCATACGAGAATAAACACATCAGACAACAGCACAACAGCACAACAGCACAAATGACAATAAACTATAGAACGCGTCTATAGTGTGTGTATGTGCTTGCTAAAATACGACACAGAAGGAAAATAAATCAACATCACATCTATTCAATCGTCTAGAAGCACACAAATGAAATGAGGGATGGGGGGATGAGATTGGTTAAAAGTAATAGCACAAAATTTTCATTGAATTTATTTCTGATTTTTGCATTTCCAGAACAAAAATTTGTACCTCAACTATGCAATTACAATAGTAGTTTTCCTTATATCATGAAGCACAGCCGCGCTTTCCTAATTGTAATCTAGAGCTAGAATTGTAGAACTAGAACTAATTTGACATTGTCTTTTACATTCTTTGTAAATCTATATCATTCTGAAACAACAGGAAATGTGATACAAAATGCATGTGACTTTTTGTTTGCTGTTTTTAAGGCTGTTTTTCAAATAGAGTAGTAAGATAACACCATAGCTAATCTTTGCAGTATTGGCAATTAGCTTGTCCAAGGCGATAAACTAACAGAGCAAGGAACAATGTCAGCTAAAGGGACCTTCACAAAATATATCCTTTCCAAGGTGAAATATTTCCACCTTAATATTTCTTTCAATTTCTTCGCCAAAAAATTAAATACACCATTTTTAGCAAAATAAACCATTATACTTAGATTCTGATTGTATTGGAGGTCTCTTACAACTTTTGGAAGCCATATTAGATACACTTGACTACCATAACCATACTGAGGTCCATTACAATAAAAGTTGCGAAACAGTTTACTCCTTTGAAATTGATACGATTTACGCGCGTGCGTGTACTTGTGACTAAAACGATAACAAAGTCAAAAAACAAAAACCAGACATTACTACAGCATTAGACACAAGGCATAGAATCACTCTACAGGTTGTTGAAGCAGAGATACTGTATTATCACATCAGAGCAAAAGCATTTTGAGCAAAGAGGTGAACACAATTTCCACACACCAGTTCTGCGCTAAGAATTCTTGATTCCATGTCATCCCATTACAGTGACACCACAAAACACAAACAAATGCCACTAGCTTCAATCACCAACAATCACCACCATCGGTCCAACTACAACTCCCTACTGCACTCATCTAATGACTACAAGGTATCCAAACCCAAGCTAAAACCTACAGAGAAGACACAAAGTTACAAGTATGGCCAGTATCCTTCTAGGAAACGCGTAAATGACCATACATCGCCAACTCCAATGAGAAATACACGCAACCATGACAACAAGGAGAATTACTTGAGCAATGGCACGTCGTTGTCTTATACAACAATACTGACAACTCCAAGTAATAAGAATAAGAAATCCTCGCAGATACACACTCACAAATCATCAGCTTTGTCATCATCAGCATCGAGCCACATTTCCTCATCGCCGTCATCTCCATTTGTCGAATCACCACCACAGCCACCACCACCAGATGTCAAAAAGTCATACATCTCACACGAGCAACATCAGAGCCCATTGCTATTGAACAACTCGCACCAGGAAATCACTCCCACTGGAAACAGCATACCTGGCTGCCAATTTGACGATTTTGAAATTGGAAGAGTGTTGGGAAAAGGCAAATTAGGTAAAGTCTATTGTGCCAAGCATAAACCTTCAGGATACCTTATTGCCCTTAAAGTCATGTCGAAGAAGGATTTATCATCAATGAAACTAGAACGTAATTTCCGACGAGAAATTGAAATCCAATCGTCGTTATACCACGTCAACATAACTCATTTACATACTTGGTTCCATGATGCCACTAATGTCTATCTTGTTCTTGAGTTTAGCTTATACGGAGAACTATATCAACGATTGCGTAAGTGCAAACGGTTTAACGATGTTGAGGCGAGTTATTACATCTATCAAGTGACATTAGCTTTGCGTTATTTACATGGCAAAAAGATTATTCATCGTGATTTGAAGCCCGAGAATATCATGTTGAGTTTAGACAATGTGGTGAAATTGAGTGACTTTGGTTGGTCAGTTTACATGAAACATCAAGAAGAAGAGGGAGAGGAAGATAATGATGACGATGATGATGAATATCAAGACCATATAAGCCATTTACAAAATACCAACAGCAAGGCCAATCCCCAGCAAATGGGCAACAGAAGAAATACAATTTGCGGAACTATGGATTATTTACCACCAGAAATGATTGAACTGAAACCTCATGACGAAACAGTTGATATATGGGCATTGGGAGTGTTGATTTATGAATTTCTTGTTGGTAAACCACCATTTGAAGAAGTTGATAAAAATGCCACTTATAAACGTATAGTTAAGGTTGATTTACGTTTTCCCAAGTATTTGCCGAATGGTGGTAGTGCCGGCGGTAGTGGCAATGAAAAGGAATCAAAAGGTAAAAATAGCGATACTGGTTCTGGCTTGGACTTAGATGCAATCGATTTGATTAGGCGGTTGTTACGATATGAGCCTAGTCAGAGATTGCATTTGGATGATGTTTTACGTCATCCCTGGATCGTCAAACACAAGCCATACTGGCCAGTGAAGAGAAAATAAATCAAAAGTAAATATATGTATATATACAAAAGCGTATTACTGAAATAAATCTTACAAACACATGCTTGACAATGTCACATCCTCTTAAAGCTTCAAATAATTACAAATCAATCATCGTTATAAAAGTACACTTAGAGTTATTGCATCTACAGTTGTTGCAGTTGCAGTTGTGACTGCTGCTGCTGTTGTCTCTGCATCTGCAACTGTTGATGCCTTTGCTTCATCAACATCTGTTGCTGTGCTTGCTGTTGTTGCTGATACTTGAGAAACTGCTGCTGGAACGCTTGCTGTTGTAAATTGTTGTGCTGTGCCGTCATTAGTATCGCTTTCGAAGGCGCTCTAACTTGGTACATCTCACCTGGAATGGCACTAAACAGTTGTGTTTGCGAGTCCAGTTGCTGATTTGGCGGCGCATCTACGTTAATCAAAGCGCATCGTCCTTGTAATCCACCAATAGAGCCAGAAATTGCCTGATTGGCCAAAGTCTGTTCGCCTCCAACTGCTCCTTGCTGTTGCTGTTGCTGCTGTTGCTGCTGTTGCTGTTGTTGTTGCTGTTGTTGCTGCGAGTGTTGCGCCGATATAATGAATGCATTTGCATAAAATTCTCTTGCCTGCAAGAACCGGTGACGATAACGCACTGGCATCATAATCTTTCTTTCCAAAGGAATAGGATTATTCTTTGACAAACCTTCCAACACCAAATGCGTCTCTTCATCGGGGTCCAACACTTTATTCGCCTTGTTCAACATCAGATCAGCACCTTCGCCATGAAACGCAGCCGCCTCTCTTCGTTGCGCGGCAAGAGCATGATTTTGAGCAATCTTAGCTTGGTTTCGCTTTTGATATTGTTGCAACAAAACATCATAAGGCATAGTCCTTCCAGGAACAGCACGTTTTGCACCCATAGAATGGGTTTTACACGTCAATGAACGAGCACATAACCCACCCGAGGCTAATGCAACACCACACTGCTTGTCTACATCAACTGGACCTTTTGCTTTGGCGACAGGCTTGGCTCTTTGGCCCTGTGTCAATTGTGAAGATTGCGACGGTGGTGGTATCGGTGTTGCCAGCTGAGTCCCTCCTTCTTGTTGTTGCTGTTGCTTATTAACTGAGGAGCCAGTTGCAGCTGCAGTGTTTTTCTTTCGTTTGACTGGCTTTTCAATTGGATCTCCAGATTGAGCAGCAGCAGCAGCGGCAGCATTAGCTGCTTCTTTTGCCTTTTGTGCTTGCGATTTCTTATACTTTTTCTTTGGTTTCGAAGAAGTACCGTTGCTGTTGCTACTCATATCCGCGTCTAGGTTATCGGTTGCACTATTAGGCACTGGTGTGTTATTTCTTGTGCTATCCACCGAAGATGAATATTCCACTTCACTTAGTACTCCATTCTTTCTTTTGCGTCTGTTAACTCCATACGCAGCGTTCCCGTTGCTATGGTTATTATTATTAGCAGCCAATTCAGCCAGTTCTTGTTGCCTCTTTTGTTTCATTTCGACGCACTTTTGATAATGCAGGTTCAAGCTCGGTAATCCAATTGGACGTTGACAAGAATTGCAGATTTTGTATGCAATAGATTGAGACAAGTATGATCTACCAGGGAATGCGTTCTTAATGAAATAGTTTTCTTCCAGCGATGTTTCTGCCGGTCTGATAATGTCTACTTTTTTGTCAAGGAAGTTACCAAACTCTTTCCAAATTGTAGATTTCTTGTCGTTTGAACTGTCACTGTTTGAGTTATGGGTGTTATCGATTAATGAATTTACTTGTGATAAGGTGATAACTTGGTCCGATTTGGTTGTCATTCTTAGGTGTGGATTAAGAAATAAAAAAAAAGAAAGGGAGGAGAATCTGTAGAGCTGCTCCTTAATGCGTCAAATATTCTTCAAGTGTGGGCGGAAATGATATGAAACCGGGTGAGAAAGTAGTTGGACAAAGTATAATCGATTTCAAAAGATGAAATCTTTCGCAGGAGTGTACCAAAGCTTTTGTGATTGGTGAGTAGTGCACTGGCGTAAATGTTTGACTATTTTACCTCCCCAGGCAAAGTATAGGTGCAAGTCGTTGTAAATACGGGCACGTATAAGAGAAGGCGGATGTCTAATCTAGTTTTCTCAACGACTCTTTTAGGCCCCTCTTGGTATGATTGATTTGATACTCAAACCTTTTATCGGTAATATGAAAGGTCAAAAAAATTTATATAATTTTGTTTATTTTATTTTTACTTGGTGTTGATTGTTTTTTTCATTTTGGCTTTTGCTCTCACTGTGTGTGTGTGGTAATCCTTCTACAGTTGGTTATCAACATAGTTTATCTACTGAATTCAAATCGTTAGTTTTACTATAATGCTTAGAAGGGAAGCAACTACTATCAAACTATCCGCAGAGGACGTGTTTGACTATGATGAAACATTAGAGGAGAGACGCTTACAACAGCAACAACAAGAACAACTACAGCAGCAGCAGCAGCAGCAGCAACAACAACAACAACACGCGCATCTGAATGAGTCGACAATCATCAACCAGCCGACGAATCTTGCTTCTGATTTTAATTCGTCAAATATTCTACAGGAACAGTTGAATAATACCGATGAATCGTTGCAGGAGTCTCGCACGAGATCCAAGAATGAGAGGGTTCTATGAAACACGACCCTGATTGGTTGTTGCAAAAGTACAATGCTTCACTCTCAGCATTACGATAATCTGTTGGATTGCGTTTAAATAATGTGCTGTTTATATATTTGTATAGAATGTGACACTGCAATCAACGTTCTTACAATGGGTCTGTTTCAGGAGGCCCTAAAAGTGAAGACGATGTTCCCCTACTTCTTTTATTGTAACTAGTTACATGTCACGCAGGCCAGTACTCGTATACCACACCATAATAGAACTCTGTGACTGTTGTTGCTGACGTGGGCTACTTTTCTAAAGTCTGTAGCCAATCTCATTTATGTCCTTAGTAATATGAAACACAAAGAAGAAGAAGTAAAAAAGAGAAGTATTATTGTCTCCACTTATTTATATGCAATGAGATGAAATTTTTTTTTTTACTCTTTTTTCTTTTACCAGTGTAAATTGCAGCCAATATCTATACCACATTCAGGTGAATCACATACTACTACAGTTCACATCATGGGTTCAGGAAGCCTAATTTTGAGTATATGTGCCGCTTTATATCTTTTTAATGGAGGAAGATGGACAATAGTGCTATCTGCATTTGTCTTGACATATTTGTACAAACTAGAAAAGAGATCAACACCCATACCACAATCATCACCGCCACCACCACCACCAGCCACTGAGAATTCTGCTGAGGGTAGCTCGAAGTCTCCCATATATGCTGTTGACTTCACATCAACAACATTCACACCATCAACAACTACAAACATTCCCAAGACAGTGCGTCTGCGGGCTAAGAGATCTCCCAAAATTATCAAGGCTAGTAAACCAACACCACAACAATCAAACGAACCAATTTTAACTCGGTCGCAAGTAGACCTCAAGAAATCACAAATATACATCTTTTATACTACATTGACGGGATCTTCGTTGAGATTAGCCAAACATTTGCATGAAAAATTGACATTGATGGAGTTAGCCCATGAGCCACAATTGTTGAGTCTTGATGATGATGTTGACGATCTTGAGAAATACTTTTTGAAAACCCCAAAAGATGACGATAATACAAAGAATATATATCTTTTGGTGTTGCCTTCTTATGAAACTGATTCCCCAATCGATTACTTTTTGGAGCATTTGATTGACACATATCAAGATTTCAGAGTGGACAAGTACCCATTAAGGTCAATTTTGGGGTTTGCTGTATTAGGCTTGGGTGACTCTGAGAGTTGGCTGGGTGATAAGTTTTGCTACCAAGCAAAGTTGGCTGACAGATGGTTAGGGAAGCTAGGTGGTAGGAGGTTGTATCCTTTGGGTGAAGTTTGTATGAAGTATGAAGGTGAGCCTAAAGCCAAGGAATGGGTACAAAACTTTGCCGAGCTTTTAGTTGACGAAGAACCATTTTATATTGATGAAAATAATGACGATGAGTTTGATGACAGTGACAAAGAAGATAATAGTGATGACGCAAACACGTTGGTTGATGTCGAGGATATGGGCGATATAATACGCAAAACAGGCCAGAGATCGACACAGCAAATGGAAGTGAAACAAATGGTTGCAAAAGATTCTCCAACATTCAAAACACTCACTAAGCAAGGGTACACTATTGTGGGTTCGCATTCCGGAGTTAAAATATGTAGGTGGACAAAGTCGGCATTAAGAGGAAGAGGATCATGTTACAAGTTTGCGTTTTATGGTATCAAGTCGCATTTATGTATGGAGACAACACCATCGTTGGCATGCTCAAACAAATGTGTGTTTTGTTGGAGGCATGGAACCAACCCAGTGGCGAAACTGAATTGGAGATGGGAATTGGATCCTCCCGAGAAGGTGATGCAGGGCGCCTTGCAGGGTCACTATCAAAAAATCAAACAAATGAGAGGTGTTCCCGGCATCCAAATGGATAGGTTCCAAGAAGCATTCAAGGTGAAACATTGCGCATTGTCACTTGTTGGAGAGCCCATTTTTTACCCTCACATCAACGAATTTGTTGGCATGCTACACGAACAGCACATTAGTTCATTTTTGGTCTGTAATGCTCAACACCCGGATAATTTATCAAAACTAGCAAAAGTGACCCAATTATATGTAAGTATTGATGCTCCAACAAAGACCGATTTGAAGAAAGTAGATCGTCCTTTGAATAGCGATTTTTGGGAAAGATTAATGTCTTGTTTGGATATATTGAGAACTACTCAGTCACATCAACGTACCGTTTTCAGATTGACCTTGGTAAAGGGCTTCAACATGACTGATATCAAGAGCTATGCTGATATGGTTGAACGCGCATTACCTTCCCAAATTGAAATCAAAGGAGCTACATTCTGTGGCTCGTCCAGTGGTAATGGAAATCCATTGACGATGCAAAATATTCCATTCTACGAAGAGTGTAAAGAGTTTGTCAGGTCGTTGAACGATGAATTGCGTGCAAGAAATCTAGGTTATGACATAGCTGCGGAACACGCGCACTCGTGCTGTATCTTGGTTGCTCACGAAAGGTTTAGAATCAATGGTGTATGGCATACTCATATTGATTACCCTAAATTCTTTGAATTATTGGAGTCAGGTCAAGAATTTGTTGATATTGATTACATCAAGCCAACTCCAGAATGGGCCGTTTGGGGTTCTGAAGAAGCGGGATTTAACCCTGTAGACACTAGATGGGATAGAAAGGCCGAGAAATTGAAAAATAAGTTGGCCAGAGAGGAAGAAGCTAAAAGAAAAGAACAGCAGATACCAGTTGAGGTTATATAGTAGTTAGTATCGATATTTATTTGAGTGTGGGCACACAACAACACGCGTAAAACTTGGACAAAAGCAAAAGAATTAGAAGAAAAAAAAATAAAACGATTTCTGTAAACAAAAAAAGTAAATCCTTCAAATCTCATCCATTGACAATCATTCTCCATGTCGTCAAGGAAGCCAGGAGGTATCGCTTTCATTCACCCCGACTTGGGTATTGGTGGTGCAGAAAGACTAGTCGTTGATGCTGCAATGGGATTACAAAATTTGGGCAACCAAGTAGTTATTTACACATCACACTGTGACCTTAATCATTGTTTCGACGAGGTGAGTTCAGGTCAATTGAAAGTCATTGTACATGGTGACTTCTTGCCCACACTGATTTACAAGAGGTTTCACATATTATTTGCAATATTGCGACAATTGTATTTGGTTCTTGTATTGATTGTTTCCGGAGATATCAAAAACTATGACTTTTTCATTGTTGATCAATTATCCTTTTGCATTCCATTTTTGAATTTATTGAGTCTTGCAAGTGCAAGAGTCCTATTTTACTGTCATTTCCCTGACCAATTGCTAACAAAAAGAGCAAGCTTGTTGAAGAGTCTATATCGTGTGCCATTTGACTTTATTGAGGAGTGGACTACGGGATGTAGCGATCAAATTGTCGTTAATTCAAACTTTACAAAGGGCATATTCCACAGCACATTTAAGAACTTACGCAATATAGATCCCGGTGTCATATATCCCTGCATCGATAGCAACCTTGAGGAGACTGAGGGGACGAAAAAGTCAGATGAGGAAGTTGTCAATTTTTTCAAGAATTCAAGGTACTTTCTATCGGTCAATAGGTTCGAAAGATCAAAGAATATAGAGCTTGCCATTAAAGCATTTAGTAAACTGAAAAGAATTCTTCCCGGAAAACCAAGGTTGGTGATTGCAGGTGGGTACGACGCTAGAGTTAACGAGAATGTTGAATATTTAAAAGAGTTAATCCACTTATGTGATACCCTAAAGCTCACCAACTTCACTATCAGAGGCAAATTGATAGTTATGCCGCCATCGACAGAAGTATTATTTCTACCAAGTGTCAAAACGTCGCTCAAAACTTCACTCTTGAAACACGCTGATCTATTATTGTACACACCGGGACGGGAACATTTTGGTATTGTTCCTGTTGAAAGTATGCTTTACAAAACACCAGTATTAGCAATCAATTTTGGTGGACCTCTCGAAACAGTTTTGAATTATGATGGATCCAATCTTGACGATGCAACGGGGTTTACGGTACCAGGCGACCATGATAAATGGGCAAAAACTATAACCAAATACTACAATGAGACTAATGATAATATCAAGAAGCGGTTAGGAGACAATGGACATAGGCGAGCTATAGAAAAGTTCTCGCGCAACGAAACTAGCTATGAATTTGTGAAACAATTGGAGTTTTCAGCAAGAAGCAAAAAGAGAGTTATAGTACCCCATTGGGTACTTTCATTGGTTCCTATTGTGATTTTAGCTTTTGCATTTATCGTCTCCAAGTTTTTTTTCTAATCGGGTGTGTGTTACAATGTTTTTGCAATAAGTATATAATTTACTTCTCAACTATAAGAAAAAAAAAAAGCTAACAACTTCACAACAACTTTCAACTTCTCAATAGATTATTCTTCTGTAGCGCTCATTCATCTCGTAAAAGCAGCTTATTGCTCGGGCGTTTTCGCCCTCCATTGATTTGTCTGAATTCACAAAGCTGTTCATCTTGCCTTTTTCATCTGCTGAAACAAATAGGGAACTTTCCATTCTCCAAGGAATTTGAGTTGTAAGCCCTTTAGTGTTAATAATTTACTATTTCCAACTTCATTGTAGATTTTTTCGGTGGCATTTACTGAATCTATGTTTTTTAGGTCTTTGAAGACCTGAGTAAAGCGCTGGTAGATTTAGCTGATAGGCTATTCTGTGTTCGTTTTCTGCTTATTTTACCCTATGAATGAGTGAAAGCAGGCAATCTAAAGGACAAACTAAGACTTTGAAGAGATGTTATAATCTTTACTAAACCTTTGATATGGCATTCACTAAGGTGTTGCTAAAAACTCCGTGTTTGTGTCACTAATACTGAGTTGTGCATAGTATTTGAGGTTTTGTGTAACAATATTGGCTCATGATTTATTTTCGGGGAATTGCAATTTTTGATCTAACCTCAATCAAAATTAGGAAAGTATACTGAGGCATATATAAAGAAAGATACATGGCACTGATAGATCTTTTCTTTTTCTTTTTTAACCTTTGCTCGAAAATCGTATCTATTACCAGCTTACCTTGTGAACTATTACAGGAAATATTCCAAAATATCAACCAGCATCAGGTTTTGGCCCTAGCGCCAATGCACTCATAATTGCAGTGTGTCACGAAGAGAAAACCTTACAAAAACATCTATGTTTACAAAAGTCGTCAAGTACAAAATATTGAATGTGGATCACCAAACCCCAAACTCGAGTTGTTTCGATACCCAGGAAACATTAACAGCTTGAAAAGTAACAACTACACAATAATATCCTCCAATACGTTTGAAAAGTATCTAGCAAAGATGGATAGACGTCGAGAAATTACACACTTTCACTCATTTGATCACCACAATGTCTTGCTTGAGCGTTTATTTAGACATTTCAAATCAATCAAGCACTTTGAATTAAGCCTGGATTGTACAAATTCAACATATTATATTTCCTTTTTTAGAGCAGGCATTTCATGTTTTAAGAGAAAGTATTTGCAACGCTTGAATCACCGTACATTATATGTATCTGGTACTCTTAATTGGTATGAAAGCTATAATTTGAACATTCTTCGAAATTCAGTGGAAAATGTAACAGTATTGAAAATTTCTGCAATATATGACTAAAAGACTTTAAAAACAATCAATCGACTTCCTCATTTAACAACTTCATATCTCCCCAGTGCTGGAGCTTTGTATGATAGGTTTCAGTTTCGACGCAGTATGAAATTGGAGAAGTTATATTTGTTTAAATGCACTTCTTCCCTGACCCAATTTGCTATCAATAAAACATTCAATACATCAAAGCTACAAGAGTTATACATTCAGGGTCATATTGGTGATTATGTTAATGAATTATTTTCTGGTCTTGAAAAAGAAGGGGAGTAACCAAATCTTCTTCTGCTTGGAATAATCCTGAAATATTTTCATTTTAATTGGATTGTCTATCACTTAAGCAAGCACAGTCATACAAACCTTCAACTGCTAATATTAATACATTCAAGAGTAGCATAGAGGAGATATCTTTCCAAATTATGTTTCCAGTTTCCAAATACAAGCATCAATTGGTGGTATTATCCGAAATGCAACTTGGGCGTGCAAAGGTCCTTTGGTATGGCTGTTAATTTTAGTCCAAACTTGCCCCATGGAGTAGTTGGCTACCATCATTACGACGATGAAACAAATTGGCCCACAGAAAGGAAATTGGAAAATGTGATTGTGCAAAACAAATCAATAAATATTAAGCTTAAAAAGTGCTACTCGGATTCAGAATTGAACATTCTTTCTTGCAAGCCCTCATACCCACCAGGCTTCGAAACAAGTTCACCCAAGGTCACTTTGTAAGGTTAATTGAATAAAGTAATTGTTCAAACTATGCGTCATCTGATTTTGCTTTTCTAAACGCAGCAGGCCTCGTTCTACCTTCGTTCTAACATGTCCAATGGTATATTTTCTATACTGGCTCATCTGGGCTCCAATTGGGGTGGACAGCCCAAATTTATTCAGCCAGCTTGACGATTTAGCTCAATTATCTAGTAGTTTGTGTTGATTCAAATCTGTATCCGTTACTAGAAGGGAATTACTTTATTATATGACAAAATATTGGCTGTTATCGTCCATGAGACTGAATTATAACTTGTTTGCAAGTGAAAGAAGATATAATCAAGAACTCCACAGCCTAAAGCATTTCCTACTTGACCTACAACATCTGACTACAAAGTTCTACATTTATTCATAATCTCATTATAGATCCATATTCAACAAGTCGTTATTTCATTTTGAAAACATCTCTGATTGCTTGCCATAAATGCAAGCTTGTATCTGTATCCTTATTTTCATGAATATTCGGCGACCCTTTTATCTTAAGTGCATTGAAATATCTTGAAGGGCCGCCACCACTATTGTCAACCAATTTTGATTTTCGTCCCTCCTTGTGCACTTTGAACCATCTTTCAATTAGAGGGGGGAAATTCTCCAAAGTCCTCCAATACGATTCTCTAATTTCCTTCTCTTTATCCAACTTCAACTTATGACCACTGACACCGGGACATTGCAAATTGTAATGTCTTATCTCAGAATTCAACAAATCAATCTTGGCCTGTATGTAGGATAAATCAGTCTCAGACAAGTTATTGTCTTCATAAGTAATCTTATTAATGTGCATCTCATACTCGTCTAGAATTTGATCTAGAGTAGTGGCCCTCTCAATATAACCTTTCATGATAGATTCATTCAACACCCACTTGAACCACAATCGGTCCACATCGGTTCGAAATAGTGTAATTGTCTTGTTCAAATTTTGCTGATTTTCAATCCAAGGCGGCAAAACGTCTTGCTTGTTCAATATTTGATTCATGAAATAATTTGTATCAGTACAGTTTTTTAAATGCTCTTGAGTCAATGGTTTGCCTCTTACGTTTTTCATTTCCGGTGAATTGAATTTCCCGGTTTGTTGATCTATAGCTGCATTGATTCTGTTTCCGGCTAAACTATTGACAAAATCAACCGATGATGAGTTGGTGAGTAACATCGATGGACCTAAAAGCTTCTCCTTGTAAATCTCTCTAAACTTGGCCTTCTCTTTGTCCTCGGGATTCTTGTTTATCCTGTAATCCAAACTGCCATCTCTTGCCAGTGCAAGTTTTTCACCAGCTGATATTTTCCGCTTCGGCTGAAACGTACTCATTGGATCATTTATGGGTTTGGGGGTCAGATCTAAGATCATACGGAGGTTGGCATCATAAGTTGATTCAGTGCCCAGCCATGGCTTAGTATTGTAAATTTCCCTTGCATGTTTGTTGTGAGATAAAAGAGGCTCACTTTTGATGTACGCTTGGGCGGCTTGTTGAAATTGGTTCTTGTCTTTGGCTCCATAATCGTATTCAGTCAATATACTGTTGATATGAGGGTTCATTTTCCGCAACTCTGTGGTGTTTGACAGGGCTTGAGTGACCTTTTCTTCCAAAATCTGTTTCATCCTCTCTACCATTGCTGAGTTATTTCCTGGATCCAGAAAATCTGAACCGGAATTGCCACCACTTTTGGCTGAATTGAACCGCTTCAAAATCGACCTTGTTTGAAACTTCGCTTTACCGCTTTGCTGTATGAGTTTGAACATTTCTCCAAATGTGGGTGGTCAAATTAGTGTATGTAGCATCTCAATGATAAAAGAATGTCTACAGATAAAAGAAACTTATACGCGGATCAAAATTGCCATCCATCGAGCGGCTTGTTAACCAGATGCCATTCTCCCACCTTCCGTCTCTTTTTCTGTGTCCTGCATAGTAAAGAAGAGAGAGGATATGATATTATGTAACATATTATGTAATATATTATGTAATATATATAACAAACTGTATGTGACGTTTTGTTGTTCACATTTTTTTTTCTTTTGAACAACAAAACAACACTTCATATTAATACACCACACTCAAGTAACTTTTATCTTCTCAACACTATATATACATATATATAACACATAATCATGTGGATTTTTGATTGGTGTATGTACTTTCACTACCTTCAATAATAGACTAACTAATCTAATATAATCTCAAAAGAATTGGCATTTGTTGTTACTAACTAAAATAATCTTTTTCAGTCCAAGACGTATTAGCCTCATTAGGTTTATGGAACAAGCATGCAAAATTGCTATTCCTAGGTTTAGATAACGCTGGTAAAACAACATTATTGCATATGTTAAAGAATGACAGATTAGCCACTTTACAACCAACTTTACATCCTACATCTGAAGAGTTGGCTATTGGTTCAGTTAGATTTACCACATTCGATTTGGGTGGCCATCAACAGGCTCGTAGATTGTGGAAGGATTATTTCCCTGAAGTTAATGGAATCGTGTTTTTGGTTGATGCAGCCGATCCAGATAGATTGGCCGAGTCAAAGGCTGAGTTGGAATCGTTGTTTAGAATTGAGGAGTTGAGCCAAGTCCCATTCGTTATTTTGGGTAACAAGATTGATGTTCCAACTGCTTGCGGTGAAATGGAATTGAAGAATGCATTGGGATTGTACAACACTACCGGTAAGGACACAGGTAAGTTGCCTGAGGGAACTAGACCAATTGAGGTGTTTATGGTATCTGTTGTGATGAGATCGGGATACGGTGAGGCATTCAAGTGGTTGTCCCAATATATCTAGACAATCTGACAGTGTCGCCGCCACCACTGTGTTGTATAGAGTGTAATGTACGATAATGACTAATAGATGATGAGTCGACTAGTACAAGAGGTTTGTGTAGGTAGCAACAAAGTTTTTGTGCAGCAAAGACGTGTGTCGTCGTTTTGCATAGGTAACAACAAACACTTTGAACAAGAGCATCCTCTGTACTGACTATCTAATGTTTAATGGAAGGAGCTGAAGGTACTTCCAGTTTGCCTATTTTGTTTTTGCAGCTTACACTCCTAAAGAGAGAGGCATAATTCACAGTATATAATCTTTTTTCCTTTTTTTCTATTTTCTTTTTTTCTCCCTCTCTCTCTCTCTCTCTCTCTTTGTCTATGTCTTTGTCTTTGCCCTTTCTCTCTCTCATCGCGAAATGCAAAAATTAATTGCAACTTTGAGGGACACATACAACATCACCTTCTTTTTAACGAAACCAAACGTTACATATCTTTCTATAACATGGAGTCTAATAACAAAGTATCATTACATCCAGAGCAAAAGAAATGGAAAGCACCAAAAGGACCTAAACCAGTCCACCATAAGAACAAAAATCTTATAGGTTTGGGTAGGACAATAGCAAATCAACGGTCTAAAGAGAATGAGATTCAATACTTGCCCGATGGAGAGATGAGATTTACCACCGACAAGAAAGACCCAAACTGGGTGAAATTGAGATCTGTCACGCAGGAAAATTCTTTGGATGAATTTTTGAGTACAGCACAATTGGCAGATACTGATTTTAGTGCAGAAAGGGGGCAGCAAGTTAAGATTATTAAAGTGGGGAACACCAACATCATCAACTCCAATGGGTTGTTGAGTACTGATGAGATGTTAGCAATGAGACAGAAACACATGATGTTTGAGAATAAGTTAACAATTCCAAGACGTCCAAAGTGGTTCAAGCAACAAAGCAAATTAGAAATTGAAAGGCAGGAGAATTTAGCATTTTTGGCATGGAGAAGAGATTTGGCAAGTTTGACTGAAAACAATGACTTGTTGTTGACACCGTTTGAGAGAAACTTGGAGGTTTGGAGACAGCTATGGAGAGTTGTTGAGAGATGCGATTTGGTGGTTCAAATTGTGGATGCAAGAAACCCCCTTTTTTTCAGATCTATTGATTTGGAAAAGTATGTTGATAGCTTTAATGATTCTAACGACTCAAATCATCAGAAGAGAAACTTGCTACTTGTCAATAAAGCAGATATGTTGAGTCGGGACCAAAGAGTGACCTGGGCTGATTATTTTAAAGCAAAAAATATCAACTATGTCTTTTTTTCCGCAGCAAATGCAAATGCCTTGTTGGAAAAGGAACAGGAAGAGGCTGAGCAGCTTGAGCACCAGATCGAACTTGATTCCAAAAACAACCTAAGTGATGAATTGGTTGATGACATGGAAACAGATGACTCAATAAGGATTTTGAAAATCGAGGAACTAGAGCAATTGTTTATGGACTCGGCACCAAGCTTTGAAGTAGACCCAGAATTTCCTGATCGCAAGTTGCAAATCGGTCTCGTTGGTTACCCCAATGTTGGTAAATCATCAACAATCAACGCTTTAATAGGATCCAAAAAAGTATCAGTTTCCTCAACGCCAGGTAAGACAAAACATTTCCAAACGCTTCATCTCACACCCGATGTTATACTTTGCGATTGTCCTGGTTTAGTATTTCCAAATTTCGCCTACACCAATGCTGAATTGGTGTGTAATGGTGTTTTGCCCATTGACCAATTACGTGAGCACATCCCTCCCACGTCGTTAGTTTGCCAGAGGATACCAAAATTCTTTCTTGAGGCTGTTTATGGGATTCACATACCTATTCAACTGGTTGAAGACGGTGGTAATGGAGAATATCCAACTGCCAGAGAATTGCTCAACGCTTATGCGAGAGCAAGAGGTTATATGACACAAGGATTTGGTGCAGCTGATGAACCGAGGGCCGCTAGGTATATCCTTAAAGATTATGTCAATGGGAAGCTCCTTTATGTCAATCCACCTCCAGTACTCATTGGTGGAGAGTGGCAATTATTGGATTTGCAGAAAAGTAGAGAATTCAACAGGGAGTTGTATACGTTACAACATCTTCCCGAATCAAGACGACAACAGATTGAACATGCGATGAAGGTTAGGAATATTTCAATTGATCAATTTGACTTGCAAAAAGATATCTCAAAATTGAACTTCTCGATGCATATTGGCGGTAGTAGTGATGAGAACAGCGGAAGCGCAACAGAAGCCAAAACCTTATTTTATGGTGGTAAGCAAGCAAAGTTGGAAAGTGCAGGTGATGACTTGGATCAGGAGTTTTTTGCAATGGCTAATGTTGAAGGTAAATTGAATACGCCTTTCCATAAGAAGACAATTTCATTGCCAACAAAGTCGGACAAGAAACACAATAAGAAAAACAAGAAGCAGGAAAAGAAACATCGGTTTGTTGCTAGCTAGATAGGGGTTTATGTACTTTACTATGTATAAGCAAAGTATTTTACAAATTTTCTTGTCTCTTTCAAATGAAATTAATTTTATTAAAACATTTGACACCAAACTAACTTAATAGACAGTGGATTAAAACTACTAAACCTAAATAATATCTATAAAAACTTAGTAGATTCTGAATGATGGACCCATGGTAGATTTGATAACCAATGATCCAACGTTTTGCCAGTTCTTCTTCAACAATGAAACCAAGAAGTTAGCAGCCATCAAGATTTGGTTGACCAAAGCATCTTCTTCCATTTCGACGTTACCAACAGCAACAGCCAAACACAAGACCTTCTTCAATTGGAACTTGATGGTGGATTTGACATCAGTAACCTTTGAGTACAAGTCATCGTTGTGGGAGACTGGAGTTGGGAACTTACCAGCTTTAGACAAAGTTGGACCCAACAATCTTGGGATTTGCTTAATCAAAACTTCAGAAGCAATGAAAGCATTGTACTTCTTGGCCAATTTCTTGATCAACTTCTTGTTCTTGTTCAATTTCTTCAAGTCATCGACTGACATAGCATCAACACCCAATGACTTTGCTCTATCAACATCAAAAGCATCACCAAAGATACAGAGGGTCATGTTTGGTCTTGGGACTTGAGGCAATTTCAAAGTACCTGAGAAACGCTTGTCTCTTTGTGGGTCATAGTTTTTCAAACCAACTTGTAATTCAACAGTTTCCAAAAAGTTTCTCTTTTTGGTTTCGTTGGAGTGTTCCAACAATTTCTTGACGTTTTCACGAACGTGAGCGGAGGTGATTTTAGACATGTTTGACTAAAGGTTAAATTACGTCTCCCAAAAGTTAAATTGGTAAATTTGATTGATTCGACGTGGATGTAGAAGGAAAGAAAGGTTAAGACAAGTAGATGAGTGTATTGTGGAAAATTTTCAAGAAGCGCAGAGAGCCAAAGTGCAGAGAAACACGGCTACCAAATGAGTAAAAAAATAAGAATATTGGTCACATGACCTGTTGTGACTGTCAAATGTAATCTCAAGCAAATTTTAGAAGACAACACTACAAACAAAGGTTGAGCTTCTGGTTGTGAAGTATTGGGGGTACCACTTGGTGTGTTATGAAGTATCTAGATCCTCAATTTGGCAAGTCACATTGAGATATATCATCCTGAACTCTCTTCGATAAAAGAGACGGATTTTGCATACTCTTCTGTCTCTTCATCTCCAATATGACTATGTTGCAGTCAACTATACCAGCCGTACTATTGGAATCAATCAACGTTGCTTAGAATTCGGAGATCGTTTAAATTGTGTATTGCCTCTTCCCCTCCATCAACAATAAAGTAACACAAAAGAAATCAATTCAATTCTAGAAAAAAGCCGCACCAAATTGGTTTACCTTTGAGCTACACGCGTATGTAATAATATAACTGGGCCTTCACTTTCGATCAATGACTATACTATTCACAAAGCAGCTACCTCGTATTGAGATAGTGGTAGCAAATCTACGCGTATTCAGCAACTCTGCGTGCTCACAGTTTACCCCATCGGTAGCAAGTCTGAAGTGGAAAGCAGACCCCTCCTCTGTAACTGCTACAACAACAACAACAACAACATCATCATCATCATCACCACATAATCATCCCCCATACAAGAGATTCGACAAATTAAAGAAACTATCACGAAAAGAAGAGGCCGAACAATATCGGATAGCTTCGCGCAATAGACTTCAGCACCTAGATTTAAAGTACAGCATAGTCACTGCGTCAACTAAAAAGATTTTGGATATTGGATTTGCTCCTGGACATTGGTTATCCTATCTTGTTGATCGAGTTTGTCAATTGCATGAGGTCGAAGACACAAAGTTGCACACTGTAGGTGTTCATATTTTAGGTTTTGACATTTTATTTAAAAACCCTCCGTTGGGTACTAGTTCAATTCAGGGTAATATCTTCTCCAAGCTAAGTCATGACAATGTAATTCAACATTTCCTGGAAATTCCAAGCAAACAAAGCCAGCTTCAATTACAAGTAGGAGTTAATGAGGAAATTGACCACAAGTCGTACTTTGCCCAAGAAATTGATGAGTCACAATTGACAAAGAGTTTAGGTCAATTGGCAATATCAGAGAAAACAGAATCTGCGTCGAAAGAATCTGCTGGGAATTGGAAAGTAGATTTGGTCATTAGTGATTTAGCTCGTCCCGGTCGGCAACAAAGTGGATTTTATGACTATACCGAAACCAATCCTTATTTGCGATACAACAATAACAAGGGACTTAATCATTCAATTGTCAATCCGAAAAAGGGGAATTTGGATTTAGCCGATGGAGCTATATTACTTATGTTGAAAGTGTTGAGACCTGGTGGGAAATTTATTTTGAAATTGACCGACATTGACAATGACGATGAAGAGATTAGATCAATGAAGAAGAGTCTACTGGTAATCTTTAAAGAGGTGCATGAAATAAATCTAATACGAGATTGCATTTTCATTTGTCTTGATAAACAGTAATCGTGATAACTTTGTAAATGTTATACTTCATTTTTTTTAGTTCTATAGACCAAATTTAGGCTTCTTCTTCAGTAACTTCAACCCCACCATTTGCATCATCATTCTCCTCTTCCAATTCGACTTCTTCGACTTCCTTTTGTTCTGTGTCCTTCTCACCAACGTCATCTTCCAGTTTCTCTTGTGAACCGTCCTCAAGGTTAATCAATGGGGCGTTCTCAGAAGCAGCTCCATTGTTGATACTTAGATTTTGGAAATCATCAATCAAACGTTCACTAATCTTGTCCTTGTTCTTCTGTTTTAAAACGTCTTTGAATTCCTTGATGTAATTTGATAATTTCTCGTGATCAACACCATAGTTTCTTCCAAACAAAATAGCTTCAGGGTACCTGCCACTCTTGATTAGTAAATCCAAACACTTGTTGACATCGCCCACAAGCCACCAAGCTTGCCATGATATATTGTATCTGCCTCTCTCTTCGCACTTCTCAGCTAATTTAATCAACTGTGTCTTGTTGTTGGTAGAAGACAAAAGCAACAACAATGAAGAATAATCATTAGCTAACCAAAATGACTCTTGAGCCAATTTTAGGTTCCATTTGTTCAATGCCAAGTCTCCAAGTTTTTTCCATTTCTGAGCATTAACCGAAGCAAGAGTCGGGTTCTCCTTTTGTTGTTTTGATAATAAATCATAAGCTTGCTGCAAGTTTCCTGTAGTTAAAGCGATTTGGAACTTGGAATCAAAGTCTTGAGATAATGCATACGACAACGCCAAGTATCCCAACTTCTCAAAGAATCGTGAAAGCTGATTAAGCTCAGTCTTGGAAAAGTTGGCAATGAGTGAGTTGTAGTCTTCGGAAAGATTTTCAACGGTAACCGTAGCCAAATCGGGAGTTTCTTCTCCAGTCTCCTCGTCCAAGACATTGTGGGTTGCAAATTGTTCCAAGTCTCCCCTCATTACCAAAGTTTGCAATTCCAAAACTTCAGCATTGATATACCACGATATAACATCAAAAGACTTATCAATAAGGTATAGTTTCCCGTCTTGAGCCTTGTAGCCAAGTATGTAGAATTTGCGGTCGAAATGACCCAAGTTGATCACTTCACCACCAACAAAGTAATTCAATCTGTTAGTAGCTGCTGTTGTATAGACAAAGACATCACCAATGAATTTTCCAGACAATATAGCCTCTGATGTGGGCAATGTGTATAAGACATCAAATGCCGCTTCAGCTCCTTCTTCTGGATCCAACTCGTCATTAGCCACTGCTTGATCAAACACTTCTTGATCGTAACTTAAAAAGTAAGTCTCATCGTTGGTTTTAGCACCTGTAACGGCAGTTGATTTCTCACCCGTGCTTGAACTGGTGACTATTGCCAACAACTGTCCATTGTCAGACCAGACAACATCAGTTATGTCATCATCAATATCAACTCTTCTCACCAATTTCCCTTGTTCCCAATCATAGAAAGAAATACAACCTTCTGACTTGACTCCCAACAAATAACCCGCAAAAATCTTGTCGGCTTGATATAACAAGTCAATGATTAGGTATTCTTGGAAATTTTTGTACACCTTAACACTAACAGTAGATTCTCTAATGGCAAAGGGGCAAGCGGCTGATGTGTCGTGTGTGTTCCAGACAAAGTCAAGAGCACTACCGTAAGCTTTCGATCTCCATCCTAATGCGCTGTAAACAATATACTCACCATCGCCACAAACGGCAGCGTATCTACCATTAGAAGAGTGATCCAACGATTGAGGGAATATTTCAATTGTTCCCAAGTCTCTTTGTTGCAAGTTTAAAGACTCTCCATCCTTCAACCCTTGTGTCGCGTTTGGTTTGATGACTGACTGGAACACTTCAGAATTCTTTGCATATATTAGCTTATTGTTTGCGTCCAACGAGAATAATGGTTCTTCACTGCCCAATTTTATAATGACAAACCCTGAATCAAAACCAACGGCAATGACATTTGACTTTGGTAGTACACCAACACACCATGCTCGTTCTAAGCTGTAATTTATCGACTTTTCCAACTTGAAAGTGTTTGAATTCCAGAATCTGACCGTGCCGTCTTCGGACCCTGACACAATCACTGGTAACTCAGGATGGAAGATTGCAAATGACACATTAGACAAATGTCCTTCCAAAGTAGCAACACACGATTTTGTTTGGTAGTCCCACACTTTAATCGTTTTATCATCACTTGCAGTAATCAAATACGGCTTGTCGGCTTGTGGATAATAGTCAACAAAATTTACTCCCTTGGTGTCGTGAGCAATCAATGTAAAATTTGGATGCGAGCTGCCCAATGACCAAATCTTTACAGTTCTATCTAAACAAGCAGAAGCAAAAGTGTTTGGATCCTTGGGGTTGAAATTGACACTCATAACATAGTGTTGGTGGCCCTCAAAAACCTGTTCTAATTTCCAATTGTTGTCCCAATTCCATAACTTTATAGTCAAGTCATCACTTGAACTCAAGATATAAGGCTTTGTTGGATGAACGGCGATTGATCTAATGTAGTCTGGATGGGCTTCAAATTGCGTCACTTTCTCGCCGGTATTGTAATTGTAGACACGAATTTGGAAATCATCGGCTCCAACAACAATCCAATTTTTCCTGGCTATGAATTTACCAGTACGCACGGGTAAGTCGGTAATTTGTATAGACTTGACTAAAACATTTGTGGCGTACGACCAGATTTCAACCTTTCCGTTGTACAATGTTGTCAAGATCCATGGTTCGGTTGGGTGGAAATCAATCCCCTTAACACGATCAGAATGGTGACTGAATGTCTTTGCTATATCCAACTTCATTGTGAGTTGGTGGTAGAAGTTGCAATTGAAGAAAGGTGGGATTCAATAGGGATTCGTCGAGTTAACGTTGTTAGTTGTTGATTTTGTTGATTTTGTTGTGTGTGCGTAATTGAAAATTAATTTTCTCAATTTTTTTTCTTTCTTTCTTTTCTTTTAGTCTGCCTTGTTTGGGACACGTTAACTATTTTGTACACGACACATACACAACTACTGATAATGCCAAATCAATCTTTTTACATTCATACAAAACAAAACAAAAAAAAACAGAGCACTATACACCGCTCAGGATCACTAATATACACTCTCCAACTTTCCTCTTCTCTCCTTTCTATACTCTTTCTCGAGTACCTCCGCTTTTTCGATATACTTTTTCCATTTGTTTTCAAATATCTTGTTGGAAAATTTATCAACCACCAACTGTTGTCCTGTTTTCCGCATAGTCTCCAATGATTGATCACTGATGAGCAGTCTGTCGGTTACAAATAGACTCGAGAGTAATTGTTCCAACGTTGGAAACTCCATTTTCTCTCCATTGATTTCAAAAACCAAGTATTTTTCCTTATTGTCCTCTTTGGTTTGCAACAGGGGGTCGAAATCAGGATCGGCAAAAGATTTGAAAAAGAAGCCAGTAGTATTGTGCCAATCTTGAACTCTTTCTCCTGTCACTATATCAAGAAGTGGTCCTGCTGAGGCATGAACAATAGGTATACACCCTCTGGCAACATATTCAACCACACCTATTCCAAAATGTTCATTCCACATAGCATTGAGACCAAATTTGCACGTTGATAGAAACTTAACAATCTCCTCATACGAGCAATCGACTGCAAACTCAACAAATTTGTCCAATTTCAATGTCTTGACTTCTTGCTGTAAAAACTCCAACGTGGCAGTGTCATCTTTTGTGCGGCAAGACCCGGCAAATAGCAAAGTGGGTACTTTATCTCCTGGTGTTGAAATATTGGGATAGTTATTTACAAGGAATTGCTGATACTCTTTTAAGACCAATATATGACGCTTTTCGGGACGGAATTGTGCCAAGTACAAAAGCTTGTTTGCCCTTGTGCTGTCTCTATCTTTTTCATTAATAAGATATTCGGTTCCACAAGGTGGATAAAGTACGTCAATTTCCTTACCTAAAGCATGATTGTATGTCCATATCTTTTGCATGTGGCTAAATGTCCAAGATCCATTGGCTAACGTAATGTCAACATACGAGCCAATGTAAACATAAAGCCAATAAAGGCTGGACCAGTATAGGAATTTGGCAAAGCTAAACACATCTGAACTGCTTCTAATCTTTGAAAAGTCAGAAATATGGCCGTATTTCAATTTGTTAAACATGTTTTCCTGCAATATTGGATAATGTACGTATGCGATTATGGGAACTTTCAAAACAATTGACGCCACAAAGTAGCTTCCCGGTAACCCCATGGTATCGACCCACACATCGGGAGATAGTTCAAATGCCGCTTCTAAACTTAGCAAAAAAGTACCAAACAATTGACCGACAATAGTCAAATGCTTCCAATATGAGCTGTCGATAAACTTTCCAAACCTTCTCAAGTAGATAAATACAATTCTTGCATGATCCAAGTCCTCAACTTGAAATTTATCTCTGGCTTTCTCCAAAATCGATAATGGCTCTGCATCGACATTTGTGGTGTAAATAACACATATATTTTTGGTATCTTGTTCTAGTGTGGCCTTGACGGATTCCCACAAGACCTTTTCACCACCTCCTCCATTGTTTGCGTAAGGGTGGAAAAATCCATACAACAATCTTCGTTTAGGGTCATCGACATCTCGTCTTCTCATCTCTTGCACAAATTCATCTTTGTTGGCAACATCATTGGGTGAAATTTTCAACTTGTTATTTACGAAGTTGGTGTAAAATGACGGTGTTCCACTAGCCAATACAAGTCGACGCCTGAAGCTCGATCTTTTGTGACTGACTTTCAAGTAAATGGGTTTTTCGTAATTGACGACTTTGAGAATTCTGTCCTGCCATTTCTGCGAGGGAATTAGGAAGTAGTGGGGTAAGATGGAATTGAAAACTTGATGTATAAAGTATATCCCGAATAGTATACCAAGGATTAACCACATGACTGCAGTGATGTCTTCTATTGATGATGAGATTGTGGATATATCTTGGGCATTTATTTGATGCGAGAATGTCTTATCATATTAAGGCTGTTTATTTTTCTTCGCAACTTCGGCTTAATACGAAATAATTTCTAAAGATCGATTTGCTTCTTGCTGATAGTAGGTAGAGGTTGATTATCTTTCAGAACGGGAATTAGTTAATGCCACTACTCTTTGTTCGTCAAATCTGAGAATGCGCTATTATAGAGCGTAGCGAGTAATCCTTCTCAAACTAGCCTACATCTAACTTCCTACGTTTTTACAGTAACACTTTCAAACTTGAATTTCACCACCTGCACTGTATTTCTTTCATTCACTTTGAAGAGGTTACAAGGCATTTCTCTTATGATAGTTATGGAAATTAGAAATTAGAAATTTTGAGGACAATTTTCTGCAAAATTTTGTTTCTACTTTGTTTTATCTTATCCTGAGCTGATGCCTATAAAAACAACAGCATGCGAGACATACAATCAGCCAAGTATCTAACTTTATTTCTAGCCACAATCAAAGCTCAATAACAGGAACGGAGTTCCTCTTGCAACCAGTCTCTTAGCAGTATAAACTTTGTACATGCTACCATGTGTAAAACAATAAGATTTCCTAATTGGGACAAATTAACGCGTCACACTTTGATTAATTAAAATCAATTTCTCCTTTCAGTTTTGATTGCTTTAGAGTGAGTTATACACTTTGTCACAATATTAGTTTTCTATTTATCACTATTTACTAACTACATTTCATCATTCATTTGTTATTGCTAGGTTCTTACTATATTTTTGAAGGAAACATCAATAAACCTGCACCTCATCATCAAACATTAACGAATACAAAAAGTTAGACGCTGAAGCTAATTTAATTTTTTTTCTTTTTTTACAATTTTTTTTTTTTAGGACTAAGAAAGCTTTTATTGGCAGTTACATTTTCATTCAAAGTATTCAGCTACTAAAGTACCAGCTATTTATACAAGTCTACTTTGCTAATAACTATACAGCTTGAAGTGGTGTCTAATTGCATTTACTAGTTGCTTATAATTTTTATTGTTCAAATATTGAATTCATTGTTCACACTTGGCACACTAACGGAACACGTCCTTCGAGATAGCATTCCACTGTTTGACTACTTCAATTAAGCAAAAGTCCACACTCCATCTAGTTTTAAAAAGTATAATCACCCACGGTAATAAATCTTGATATTTCATGCATCAAAGAGACGATCTACTGACTAGCAGTGCATCATCAACAACATCATCCTCAAATACATCGAATAGTATGTCAACGGCAACTACAAGCACCACCACTGGCGGTGGCCAAAAGGTAAAGACTCCATTAAAGAAAGAGGAGTTGGAGAAGATTGCTCGCCAGTTGAAGAAGAAATTATCAAAGGCAAGTATAACGGCTAAGCAATCTTTATCGCCTACAAATATGAAGACAATGCCACCAAACGTTCCTAAATCGTCACCTTTAAGAGGATATATCAATGCCAACTCACAAAAGAATGGAGACTCTCACAACCATGACTCATTCTTATCGTCATCTCCAAACATTTACTCGCCCAATGGTAAATCTCCAACGCATATTAAAACTGCTGCAGCAACGTTTTTATCGTCGTCACCTTTGAAGAATATTGCAAGTGGCGATAACGATGAATTGAATGACTCACCCACAAAGAAGAGAAGGACAAGTTTTTCTCCAAGTAAAATGGTGCTAGCTGAGCTTACCCCTCCTGGAAATGGCGAACAGCAAAAGCAAAGCTTGAAACCATCGTTGGATATGAGCACGACTCCGTCGAGACAAACTTCTAGAAGAGATAGCATAACAAAACTGAGGGATACTGAAGCTGAATTTGACGTGGCTAAAACACCAGCTCCAGACACGGAGGGAGCTGATCTTCTCATATATCTTGCCACCTCACCCAGCCCTGCCAAGACTTATAAACCAAAAGTTTCCATCAATGCTCCTGTTTCTCATACAATCACAAAACAAGGCGGTGGCTCGCAAACTCAACCTCCACAGAGCTACCCACAACAGAGTGCATCGACATTCGCTGTGCCTCAGCCGCCAGTCACACCCAAGAGAGTAAACACTCAACATCATCAACACACCAGAACTCCCCAGAATAGATTGACTCCATTCTTGAACAACTTATCCTCCAATCTACCATCATCTGGGTTGACTTTAACACCAAGTGGCTTCAATATGAATGACTATGTGAATTTTTTCACGCCATCGCCAGGTAATGCCATGAATAATAAGAATCTATTAAAAACGCCTGATTTTAATAACTTGTTAAATGGGGGTGGAGCTGGTGCTGGTACCAACTCTGCCCTGGGACAAACACCATTGGGCAAGAAACTCGATGGGAAAATGTTGAATTTTAATAAAGTTTTGTTTCAAGGACATGGATCGGATTCTTCGGGAAAGGATATATAGGACAGATCATTTTGTTCTTTTTTTAAGTTGGTGGAATGGTAAATAATTTTTTCATAGTGCATTTTCTTAATCTACAGTTCGTTCAAAGTAATACAAACACCTTTTCTCTTTGATGTAATTGTGGTGTCAGGTTTTGCAACCACTACCGATGGTCGTGTACAGGGATAATTTAGAGTCTGATTGAAAAACCTCAATTCCTCTCGGTCTTGATTTTTCATCTAAGCTGCAGCAACAGCAACAGCAATAGTAGTAACCATGTCAACAGAACCAACTGCCAGCGTGGCCGAACTAGAGTCACAAACCAAGAACTTAGACTTGAGCAATGCCTCTTCTACCGAGCAAACTTCTAACAAAGAGAATGACTTGAAAGCGGAAGGTGCAGGGGACGATGGGGATCAGGAAGACGCTGGAGCAGATGCATCCTCCTCCGACAAGAAAAAGAAAAAGAAAAAGAGCAACAAAAAGAAGAAAAAATTAGTTGCTATTGACCAATCGTACCCCGATGGTATTTTCCCAGAGGGTGAGTGGATGGAATACCCATTGGATTCAAACAAGCATCGTACAACATCAGAAGAATTGAGGTATTTGGATAGACAACAAAACAACAAGTGGGAAGATTTTAGAAAAGGGGCCGAAATCCATCGTCGTGTTCGTGCTAAAGCCAAGTCTTCAATTAGACCCGGTATGTCAATGACTGAAATTGCCGATTTGATCGAAAACTCAGTGAGAGCGTATGCCAACTCCGACCACACAAAGAAAGCTGGGATTGGATTTCCTACTGGGTTATCTTTGAATCATGTTGCTGCACATTATACTCCAAATACTGGGGATAAATTAGTGTTGGGAAAAGACGATATTATGAAGGTTGATATTGGTGTACATGTTAATGGTCGTATCTGTGATTCTGCATTCACAATGACATTCAACGAAGACGGTAAATACGATACTATAATGCAGGCAGTTAGAGAAGCTACCAACACTGGTGTGAAAGAAGCGGGGATCGATGTCAGGATGAATGACATCGGTGCTGCCATCCAGGAAGTTATGGAAAGTTACGAGATGGAAGAAAATGGTAAAGTGTACCCAATTAAATGCATACGTAACCTTAATGGGCACAACATTGGTGACTACGTTATCCACTATGGTAAAAATGTCCCAATTATAGCTAATGGTGACAACACCAAAATGGAGGAAGGTGAGACTTTTGCTGTTGAAACATTCGGATCAACTGGTAAGGGATATGTTTTGCCTGAGGGAGAATGTTCACATTATGCATTGAACCAAAATACTGAAAACATGAGAGTACCATCAGAGAGATGCAAGGCATTGGTGAACACAATACAGGAGAATTTTGGAACTTTACCATGGTGTAGGAGATATTTAGAACGTGCTGGTGAAGACAAATACTTGCTAGCATTGAACCAATTAGTTAGAGCTGGAGTTGTTGAAGCCTATCCACCGATTGCTGATAAATTGGGTAGTTATACTGCACAATTTGAGCATACTATATTGTTGCATCCCCATAAGAAGGAGGTTGTCACTCGTGGTGATGACTATTAGATAGAAGTAGCGACAATCGGATAATCATGGAAAAGTCCTTTGTATGTAAAGTCGTATACGTCCAGACATGTGACACTTTCTTGAAACCTTTAAAAAGTAGATAAAGTTCATACTGCTGTTGCTTTCCTGTAAGGTAGTCACACTACTTTAAGATATAGTTTTTGTGTCTGCTCTAGTCGAGGTCTTACACGCTACCAAATCCATTAGCAATTTACGACGTGTTTCAGTGCTGGTTGCTTTGAAACGAAAGACGATAGAGATGTGATGCTTAATTCACGTTTCTTACCTTTTACACAATATATCAGACCCTTCTACAACATGAGGAGTCTCAAGGAATACAAGGT